TTTAGAGTTTGATTTGGGTTCAAGGTTCGGGGTAATGATAGGTTTACGGTTTCCCCTCTCCCCCCTGTGGTTCGTGCTGGGTGTACGGTTGAGGGTTCAGAGTTAAAGCAGCAAAGGTTTCGGGTTTACCCTTCTCCCTCCCGTCGTTCATTGGTGGGTTTAAGTTTTAGGGCTAGGGTTCAGGGTTTGGGGTTTAGGCTGAGGCTTCTCTGTCCCCCCCCCCCCCGTGGGGGGGGGGGGGGGGGGTCGATTACGCGGAACGCGGGCGCATGTAAACCCTATAAGCCCTAAAAACCCTAAACCCCCCAAAACCCCCGAAACCGCCTAAACCCCCAAAACCCCCCAAACCCCCAAACCCCTAGACCCTAAACCCTAAACCCTCTACACCCTCTCAACCTTCTAAACCCTCTAAAACCCTAAGCCCTGAACCCTAAACCTAAACCCTGAACCCTGAACCCTGAACCCTAAACCCTAAACCCTAAACCCTAAACCCTAAACCCTCAACCCTAAACCCTAAACCCTAAACGCTAAACCCTAAACCCTAAACCCTAAACCCTAAACCCTAAACCCTAAACCCTAAACCCTAAACCCTAAACCCTAAACCCTAAACCCTGCCCAAACCCTGAACCAATAAAAGACCCTACTGCTATCCACTTGCAGATCCTGCGGACTCCCGCCACGAGGCAGGCGGTAGCAAGCGCCTGGGCCGAGGTTCCCCAGGGCCTGTGCATCACAATGGGGTTTAGGGTGGGCTTAGAGTTTGTGGTTTGGGGTTTAGGGTTTGGAGTTGTATGAGCTAGGGGTTTTTTGGTTGGGAAGGGTTGGGGTGCTTGGGAGGGTTTGGCGTTTACACGGTCCTCTGCCCAGGGTTGGAGTGTTATGTTGGAGCTCACCTTACCACACCAAAGCCCTGATTTGTTGCAGGCTATTTCGGAGTCATGAAAGGAGCGGAAAAGCAACCGCCTGAGCAACAGACCGTTTTTCAAAAACCTACGCCCTAAGCCCAAACCCACAAAACCCTCAAAGCCCTCAAAACCCTCAGCTTAAGATGTTCCCCCTTATACTAGCAGTCCTGAATGGGGAGTATAATGGGGCACTATAATCCCGTGGGAACATCCCAACCCTAAGCCTAAACCCTGAACCCGAAACCCTAAACCCTAAACCCTAAACCCTAAACCCTAAATCGCCCCAGCAGGTGCGGCCTCTTGCAGAGGAGGGCGCAAGCTGCGAAGTGGTCGAGGCGGTCGGTCGCTTTGCAGTCCGCGCCTAGGCCGCAGGCCTTTATCTCCCTTTTTGTTGGGGGGGTTCAGGGGTTTGGCGTTTAGGGGGGTTTAGGGCGCTAGGGTTTAGGGTTTAGGGTTAGGGTTTGGGGGTTTAGGGTGCTAGGGTTCATAGGGTTTAGGGTTTAGGGGTCTAGGGTTTGTGGGGTTAAGGGTTTTGGGTTTATAGGTGTTTAGGGGGTTTAGGGGGTTTAGGGGGTTTACGGGGCTTACGGGGCTTACGGGGCTTGCGGGGCTTACGGGGCTTACGGGGCTTACGGGGTTTACGGGGTTTACGAGGTTTGCGGGGTTTAGGGGGTTTACGGGGTTTACGGTTTACGGGGTTTAAGGTTAAGGGTTTAGGGGGTTTAGGGTTATAGGGTCTAGGGGATTGAAGGTCTAAAGGGTTTGGGGGGTTTAGGGGTTAGGGTTTGTGGGCTTGGGGGCTTAGAGACGGCGTAGGTTTCATAGTCTTTTTGCTCAAAGGCCGAGGGCTTTGGATTTAGACTATAGAGCCCGAAACCCCCAATATCCGAAACGCGAATAGCGCCCGAAACCCTCATACCATAAGACCCCTACTACCCTATTCTAGCTCCCGAAACCCCAAACCCCAAACCCTAAACCCTAAACCCCAAACCCTAAACCCTAAACCCCAAACACGAACCCCCAAACCCTAAACCCCAAACCCTAAACCCTAAACCCCAAAGCTAGAAACCTCAAAGCTTCCCTCAATAACGCCGAGGCTACCTCGACCTGTTGCCAGACATTGCCACCGCATCCCCCAGCCTGGAGGCAGGGTCGTCAGCGCTACTTCGGGGAGTTGGGGTCGTTGGGGTCTAGGGTTTAGGGTTTAGGGTTTGAGGTTCAAAGTTTCGGGTTTGGGGCTGTAGAGTTTAGTGTTGAGGGTGTTGGGGGGGGTCTTTCTGGTTTTGAGTTTTCGGGTTTTTGGGCTTTGGTTTTTTTAGTCTTAGGGTTTAGTAGTTTTTGTGGCTGAGATTTGGGGTCTATGATTCTATTTTGGGGTTGAAATTGCATGGTTTTTTTGTTTTTTTCAGCTTTGGGGTTTGGAGTTTTCCAGCCCCTAAACCCTACCCCTAAACCCTAAACCCTAAACCCTAAATGCATTAAAGCCGCTCCTCTCTCGAAGCCCCGGAGGTGGCGCTGCTTCGCTGCGGGGGTGGCGCCCTAGAGGTGCTTGGCTTGGATTGGGGTTCGGGTTTGGGGTTTAGGGTTTGGGGTTTAGGGTTTAGGGTTTAGGGTTGAGGGTTTTAGGGTTTATGGGGCTGAAACGATTCCAGTTAGAGGGGTTTCAGAAGTGCCAGGGCTTAACTTTAGGCTTCTTTAGGGCTTTGGGGTTTTGATGCGAAGGCTCCGAAGTCTCATTCATCAGGCTGCCACCTCGAAGAGAAACCCGCCATTGACCCTAGGCCTTTCGGGTAAACCCTAAACCCTAAACCCTCATATCCAAGCCCAATCCTCGGCTGTGAAAGTCCAGGGGTTGCCACCTAAAACGAGCTTCCAAACCTGCGTTCGGCCCTTTGAAAACATGGTCACAGAGAAGCCCGAAGCCCTAAACCCTGAACCCTCAACCCGAAACCCTGAACCCTAAACCCTAAACCCTAAACCCTAAACCCTAAACCCTAAACCCTAAACCCTAAACCCTAAACCCTAAACCCTAAACCCTAAACCCTAAACCCTAAACCCTAAACCCTAAACCCTAAACCCTAAACCTAGACGCGTGTTTTCCTGAGCCAGGCCGCTGGTCTCTTGCGCTTGGCCGCCGACGGAACGAAGCTGAGCTGTCATGCCCTAAAGCCCCTTATGGTAGGGTTTAGGGTTTAGGGTTTAGAGGGTTGAGAGTCGAGAGGGTTGAGAGGGTTGAGAGTTGAGAGGGTTTAGAGGGTTTAGAGGGTTCAGAGGGTTCGGAGGGTTTAGGGTTTAGGTTGGGATGTTGCCCCCTTATACTAACAGTCCTTAATGGGGATTATCATAGGTGGTACTATAATCCCGATGAAGGGCTGTTAGTATAAGGGGGAAACATCCCAAGGGGTAGGTTTGAAGACGTTTTTTCATTTGTATCTCCCTTAATCCCTATATTTTCCTTGCAAAGCCATAAGAACTTCATCTTTATTGGGCCCGCAAAGCCGGGCCCAGTTAAGCCCGCGGGTCCAGTCCTAGTTAATTAAGCCCCGTAGAAAAGTCCGTCGGCTCCAGAACCTTACAAGGCCCTTAGCCCTAACCCCCTGAGTTCTCTGTCATATAGGATATCCTAGCCTAGTATATTATATGAGTTATGTAGAGCTGCATGGCAGCTTGCTGGCTCGATGCCATTTACCTGAGCTCGCGGTTTCTTTTGGGTGTCTTTACGCGAAGTAACTAGGGGGTTTACGAAAATAGGGGAGCCCTGAAATGAGGTACCCCTATTTTCGGAAACCCCCACTACACGAACGAAATTATCAACTGGTGTCCATCCCGAACCCTGGGATAGAAACCCGAATCTGCCGAAAGTTCGGGCCAACGGCGGGCTCGTGGGTCCGAATGCCCCCTAAACCCTAAACCCTAAACCCTAAACCCTCTGCACCCTAACCCCTAACCCTTGACCCTAAACCCAAACAGCAAAAAGCTCGGGCATTGGCTGAGGAGATTGCCCGAGGTTGAGCAGCTTCTCGGCAAGGCCACACCCTGCCAGGGCTCCCTGAGCCCTCAGGAACGTAGAGTCGGGCTTACAGTGTGTATATGTGTGTAGGGTGAGGGGTTTCAGAGGTCTGTCTAGGAGCGAGGGTTGAAGGTTAAACGGATTTAGGCTTTCGGGTGTAGGCCCTGACTTGACTCTTGTTGTTACTCTTCTTTAGGTGCAATTGTGAGTGCTTGTGTGCGCCACCTCGGCGCGCCCCCCCACCATTTGGGCCGGCCTGGAGGGGCGGGGGAGGGGGCAGGGGGGGGATGGAGGTCTCAGTTGCGTAAGGGGGGGGGGGGGGTCTCGGCCGGAGGCCGAGGCGCATGACAAGTTCAGGCGAGCTTCAAGATTACTCGGCACAACTCCTCCCTAGGTCTGACAGAGAGCAGCAAAATGTCACATGCTTATTTGAAACGCACCACATGATTTTTACACCCTATCTTGGTAAAGATAGTCTGGGGTTGCGCACTCCAAGGACACTCTGGGGCTGGGCACTCCGGGCACTCCAGGGAGACTCTGGGGTTGGGCACTCCAGGGAGACTGCGGGGTTGCGCACTCCAGGGAGACTCTGGGTTGAACGCACCAGGGAGACTCTGGGTTGGGCAATTTAGGGAGACTCTGGGGTTGGGCACTCCGGCGCTGGGCATCCGGGAGACTCTTGCGCACTCCAGGGAGACTTTGGGTTGAAAATACTAGCGAGACGCTGGGAGCTGTGAGCCAGGTTAGGGTCAGTCCGGACCAGCTGAAAATGCTAAGACCCAGTTTTTAGGGTTTAGGGTTTAGGGTAAGGGTACTGAGACCCCTTGCAAGGTTCCCCGAGGTTTTCGGCAGAGCTCCTGCGTCGCAGGCCGCCAGCGCGGGCGCGCCGCGCGCGGCACTGCGGCGGGCGGTGGCGCTGCATGGCCAGGCACGAGCGACGTTGTTTGTAATGATATGCGTACATGAGTATTCTACATGGTATACGAATGTAGGTAATTAATAGCATAATCGTATATTGATGTCCCCAGACTCTTGCTTGTTGGATGCTGATGTAGGCTTTGTGGGATTTGTCCTTGCCAGGGGCAATGCTCACGGGAAGTTTTGAAGCGGCTAAAGCGGCGTAAGAGCCCTGGCACAACAAAAAGCCCTGGAACCCCTCCCTCCCTTCAGGGCCGAAGCCTCGTTTTACCCTAAACCCTAAACCCTAAACCCTAAACCCTAAACCCTAAACCCTAAACCCTAAACCCTAAACCCTAAACCCTAAACCCTAAACCCTAAACCCTAAACCCTAAACCGAAACCCTAAACCCTAACCCTAAACCCTAAACCCAGTTTTTCGGGCTCAGGGTGATCGCAAGACATCTAGAGGGATGCCGGCCTCGGTCTGGGCAGCCGGGGAGGAGCCGGAGAGAGTGCACCGGCACAGAGCCCGGAATCCCTAAATCCTTGAACCCTAAACCCGAAACCCTAAACCCTAACCCCAAAAAACCCTAAAGAACCCCAAAGCCTGAACCCTGAATCGCACCCTTCCCCCAACCAAGAGATCTGGGATCTCCTGGCAAGGCAAGAGATGATCCAGGCAGGAGGGAGGGCTTTCACGGTTTAGGGTTTAGGGTTTAGGGTTTAGGGTATAGGGTTTAGGGTTTAGGGTTTAGGGTTTAGGGTTTAGGGTTAGGGTTTAGGGTTTAGGGTTCAAGCCAGAATGTAGGGGTCGGAATCATCACTAGTTGTATCCCCTTATGATCCCCATACTACTATTTGCTCAGAGACCACGCCAAAACTTTAAAGATGACATAGTCTTCCTTATAAGGGTAATGTAGGGAGTATTATCTGTTCTTTCGTAAGCACATAGTAGTATACCATTATAATATGAACACCCCCCAAAACCCTCTAATTAGAGAGGGCCCCTTATATTGTCCAGCCGAAGTCAGAGTACTTCTAAGCCGTACGAACCTAGTCTAGTGCATGCCAGGTTAGGGTTTAGGGTTCAAGGTTTCTGGTTTTGGGGTTTTAGGGTTTAGGGTTTGTAGGCACGAGACCTTCTAACACTCCGAGACTGTGCAAAGGCGGCCACTTGGGGAACTTGATCCTAAGCTGGTTGTGGGAGGTTTGAGGCACGAGGGTTGGAGGGAAGGAGCGGACCCTAAACCCTAAACCCTAAACCCTAAACCCTAAACCCTAAACCCTAAACCCTAAACCCTAAACCCTAAACCCTAAACCCTAAACCCTAAACCCTAAACCCTAAACCCTAAACCCTAAACCCTAAACCTCGACCTGCAAAGCCCGACTCTTCGAGGTGAAGGAAACCATCACCGAGCCTCCAACCTCTGCTTTTCTGATTCCTAAATCCAGGTGTTCAGGGTTCAGGGTTCAGGGTTCAGGGTTTAGGGTTTAGGGTTTAGGGTTTAGGGTTTAGGGTTTAGGGTTTAGGGTCAGGGTTTGGGGCTTTGGGGGTTACGGGGGGGGGGGGGGGGGGGGGGGGGCTTTTGCAGATATTTTGGGGCCTGCAGTGTGAGGGCTTTCTGTTGCGCCAGGCAGGCAGATGGCCGTTAAGGCCCTCGTCCAGCAAGCGAAAGAGGACCGAACACCCGTTTAGGGTTCGAATAGGGTTTAGGGCTTAGGGCCTAGGGCTTTGGGGCTTAGGGCTGAGGGCTTTGGGGCTTGGGGCTTGGGGCTTAGGGCTTAGGGCTTAGGGCTTAGGGCTGGCTTAGGGTTTAGGGACCAAACCGCATCCCAAACCCAAGGTTGGAACCATGTGCCCTTGGTATGGCCCCCTACCCTTGTTGAAAAGGGTTTAAGGGGATGGGCCCTTACTATGCATTATATATGGGTTATCTAAGAATGGACTCAAATTAAGGGCCCATACTTCGGATCCCCTACCAAAGACGTTCAACGGATGCGGTAAACTTCACAGGTCATCAGTGGTAGTCGTGGACAAGCTGCTTCTTTCTTGGAAAGCGCTTCGGGGTCCTAAAACCTAAACCTAGAAACCCGAAACCCTAAGCCCTGAACCCTAAACCCTAAACCCTAAACCCTAAACCCTAAGCCCTAAACCCCAAACCCCAAACCCCAAACCCCAAACCCTAAACCCTAAACCCTAAACCCTAAACCCTAAACCCTAAACCCTAAACCCTAAACCCTAAACCCTAAACCCTAAACCCTAAACCCTAAACCCTAAACCCTAAACCCTAAACCCTAAACCCTAAACCCTGCCCACGCGCAAAGGAGCTTCGAAAGACGGCTGGGGAAGCCGACGCCGCGCTTTTGGCCACGTTCGGCTGCTAGGCCTTGAGCTTTACGGATGGGGTCAGGGGTCCCTAAACCCTAAACCCTAAACCTTAAACCCTAAACCCTCCTAACCCTAAACCCTAAACCCTCCTAACCCTAAGCGTTTTCGAGGGGGCGGGCGGGAGGTGGGGGAGACAAGTTTAGTCCATTTTGATTCAGGGGTTTGCAATTTAGGTGTGTTGCGCCAGTATTTAGGGGTAGGGTTTGGTTTTTACTAGGAGAGGCGATTGGCAGGGTGGCAGGGGAAAGCAAGACCTGCCATAGTCTAGCTTGTCAGAATACTCGGCCCTCACCCGAGCGACCTGGGGGTCGAGCCCCGGTGGCGAGTTGTTTTCGAAGCCATCCACCTAGTGACCTAGTGGTGCTGCTTGAGCTTGGCATTCACATGTGAAGCAACTGTTTTTGGCATCAAAGGGAGAGCCAAGACAAGCAGCAGGGATAAATAAAAAACAACAGAAGTCCAGCCTGTGTTGTTGGCTCGTGCTTAAACTTTAACGCTTTTGGCAGGATGGCAGCTCACTCCAAACAGGTCCGCCATAGTGTCGTGGCGAGTATCTCCGCTTTTCACGCAGAAGACCCGGACAGCTGCTCAGGAGAGTGAGTGACTTTTCTGCCCTAAACCCTAAACCCTAAACCCTAAACCCTAAACCCTAAACCCTAAACCCTAAACCCTAAACCCTACATGCTAAGTCAGGGACACCCCTCAACGAAGCCAACACCCAAGAGCCTCTAAAGCCCTGAAGCCTCTCCGAACAGGAGCCCTGTAGCTCTCAAACCCCGAAACCTCTCTAACTTCGAATCCCCACATAAGGATTTGAAACCTCGAGTCCCTACACCCTAAACCCGATTCCCTACACCCGAAACCCCAAACGCTAAACCCTAAACCCTAAACCCTAAACCCGAAACCCTAAACCCTAAACCCTAAACCCTAAACCCTAACATAAGGCTCAGAGGGCTTCTAGGACTTGAAGAACCTGGTGAAGCCCCAAAGAGTGGTGTTGAGGCTTTCTGGCGGCCTCCGTGGGCTTGGAAGCTGCTGTGGCAAAGGCATCAGTGAGGGGGATTTGAGGTTTAGGGTTTAGGGTTTAGGGTTTAGGGTTTAGGGTTTAGGGTTTAGGGTTTAGGGTTAGTGAGGGGGAGATTTGCGGTTTAGAGGGTTTGAGGGGTTGGGGGCCTTTGGGCTTGTAGGAGTAAGTTAGAGCCTTGGGCTTAGGGGGCTTAAGGGTTTCGGGGCTTAGGGCTTGCAGGACTTAATTTGAGCCTTGGGGTTGAGGGGTTAGGGTTAGGGTTGAGGTGCTTTGGAGGTGCCTTGGGTTTAGGCTTGTTGAGGGCCGAAGGGGGTTGGGGTGAAATTCTCTGGCGTCCAGCCCCCCCCCCCCCCCCCCCGGGACCCAAAAAGACCCCAAATGGCCTTTCAATAAGCCGTCCTTCAAAGTCTAGTCTTTGGGAGGATCCCACAGAATGGAGGGTTTTGGCTCCTCAACCAATGTGGCAGCCCCATAATATGTCTCGATGCCCTGCCTGTTCACAGGAGGCGCTGGTGAAGGCGTCACAGGGGCAGGGGCGTGGCGCTGTGGAGGCGACTTGGTGCATCTTCTCCTCTTGTTTATAGTGCGGACCCCCCGCCCCTAAGAAGGGACCTTTGTGTAGGACTTACACACCTCCGCCCTTCTAAGAAGGGACCCTTGTGTATGCCTTACACATCTGAGCACATCTTGGGAATTAGGAAACCTTCTTTGTGCGTTGGGAGGCGGCGGTCTACCAGGCCAGCATGACCGGTCTCATTCCCTTCGAGCCACTCGGAGAATACTCATGCTGGTAACCGTGGGTTAAGGGCCGGCTACTTGGAGGTTCAGGGTACCTTTTCCCCCCAGTTTGAACTGTACGTATATATAAGCCCCCTAAGTCCCCCAAGTCCTCGATGTGGGTGAAAAGTAGACTCATAACTTGGGCTATAAGTACCCATGAACCTCCAAGTAGGGTTTCATGATTGAGGGCTCATGTGGCACCCTCGGGCAATTGTTGCCGAGCGGAATGGGGCAAAGGTCGAGAACTGCCCGGCAGCAACCAGGATACTACGTGAGGACCCTAAACCCTAGACAACAAACCCTAAACCCTGAACCCTAAACCCCTTCGTCCCTTCAGGCTTTCGAGCCTCCCCCCAAGGCTGTGCCACCAGCTCTTTCGACTGGAGTGCCTCAGCAGCATTGCCGCACCCCCCTACGCCCGAACTCCCAAACGAAATAGTCTTTTTGGACCTCCAAGCCCAAAGCCTAAGCCCCGAAGCCCCTAAGCCCCGAAGCCCCTACAGTAAACCCTAAACCCTAAACTGCTGGGGTTTAGACCTTTTGGGATTCTTGGGCTCCCGGGAATCCTCCAGGCGGGACATCCTCTTCCGACCCAGCAGCTGCCTCCCAAGGTGCCGCGGGAGTGTAGGGTTTAGGGTTTAGGGTTTAGGGTTTAGGGTTCAGGGTTTAGGGTTTAGGGTTTAGGGTTTAGGGTTTAGGGTTTAGGGTTTAGGGTTTAGGGCGAAGATTGGGGAGCTTGTGGAGGTTCCAGCTGGATCTTCTTCTATCCTCAAACTCAGGGCATTTGGGCTTTAGGGATTTGGGTGGAGGGAGTTTAGGGATTCGAGTTAGGGCCTTGTTGTGTGGGCTTGGGACGTGAGGAGGTTCAAAATCCTGCAGGCTGGAAAGACTTACTACTGTTGGCTCAAGAGGCCCCCCCCCCTATTACTATTTTATCGTAAATGCGCTCCTGGCTGGTGGGATAGCCCCCCCCCCCCCCCCCCCAAAAAAGAAAAAGAGAAGAAAGAATCCCTGTATTACCCTGATAAGGAAGGATATTCGGTTTTTGTTTTAGAGGGGGTTCTTAAGCAAACAGTAGCTCAGGGCTTTCCGGTTGTTGCTCCCATGCCTTGACAGACCCACGGAACTCTCGGCTCTCGTCCCAGACCTGATTACACCCCTAAACCCTGTAAACCCTAAACCCTGTAAACCCGAAACCCTGCACCCTAAACACAGAAAGCCATGGGGGAGTGCCGCCGCTAGGCTGGAACTGGCAGTGCGCCTCTTCCATGCTGCTGGCAAGGCCAAGGCGCGCAACCGCCAGGGCGCCCTCTGAGCCTTCAAAGGCAATATAGGGTTTAGGGTTTAAAGCTTAGGGTTTTAGGGTTTAGGGTTTAGGGTTTAAAGCTTAGGTTTTAGGGTTTAGGGTTTAAGGCTTAGGTTTTAGGGTCTAGTGCATGTTCAACGGAAGCGCGCGCTTTGAGAGCGAACATGAGTCTGCAGACCTACCTACCCCAAGACCGCCCACTTACTACTCTTAGAGAGGTAAGGGAAGCTAGCCACCTATGAGTTGTGTCACATGGGTCGCCTGGAGCACTTGGGACGTGTGGGTCGCTTGGGGTCATGAAATATTTGGGAGAACTGGGAACACTTGGCTTCCTTGGATCACTTAGGTCACCTGCGACACTAGGTCGCTTGGGTCGCCTAGGATGCGGGTGCCTGGGCTACTGGGGACACTGCACTCGGTCACTGGGGACACTCGGGTCCCTTGGGTCACTTGGAACACTCGGGTCAGTACAAGTGGTGTGTTTGGGGGGGGCATTTGGGTCACGAGGTCACTTTGTGAAACTCCAGACACACTTGGGACCTCTGTTTCACTGGGGCCACTTGAACACCTGGGTCGCTTTGAACATTGGGGAGGACTTGGAGCACACTTCGGGTCGCTTGGGGCTCGGGACACTTGGGTTTAGAGTTTAGGGTTTAGGGTTTAGGGTTTAGGTTTAATTAGGGTTTAGGGTTACACTCGGGTCGCAGCACTTGGGATGCCTTCAGGATGCTAGCCCGTGGTTGGGGCTTGGGGTTTAGGGCTTTAGGGTTTGGGCTCCACAGGTTTCGGGGTTTCAGAGCCCGTCATGCGCCCCCGCTTCGGACACAGAGGATTGTCGGACCTCGGCCATGAGGTATGGGGCCATAAAAGTTAGAGGTAGAGGCGGTTCACGCTTGCTAGGTAGTCTTGGGGTAGTTGCATGGTCCCTTACTGTGGTCCCTTACCGCCTCTGAAGGGTTCTGATGTATAGGCCCTTGGGTTGTATAGTGCATACAAGGGGTATACGAGGGGTCCTCGTTTAAGGGCCCATACTAGGGGACCATGTAACCTAAGCCCTAAACCCTAAACCGAACAACCCTAAACCCTAAGAGGTAGGACTATGCAGGTTTCAGGGCTTTGGATCGTCGAGCTCCACCCGTTTTCTGACTGGTGCTGCGTTGTTTTTCTTTGGGTTTTTCGGACTCGGCCCATCCTGTTACTCATTTTCCCAACTCGCCGGTAATCCCTTAGTTTTGCTTGAACCGAAAACCCTACACCCTCAACCCAGGAACTCTTGTAACGAAGATCTCTGAAGCCTAAGCCATGAATATGCAGCCAAGCCCTGAGCCCTAGAAATTTCCTGAAAACCCTAAACACTAACCCTAACCCTAAGCCCTAAATCCTAAACCCTAAACCCTGAACCCTAACCGAGATTCCTGAAGAGCAGCCTCCTTCACAGGAGTCCGGAGCCCGGCAAAAGGCCGGGCTGCTTTTGAGGCCGGAGTGTTTGGGGTGGGGGCGGGGGGGGGATTCGGTTTGCGGTTCAGGGCTTAGGGGTTTAGGGCTTAGGGCTTAGGGTTTAGGGTTTAGGGGCTTAGGGGGCCAGTTGAAAGTTTGAAGGGCTTTAGGGGGCGAAGGTTTCTGGGCGCCTTTGCAAGGTATCATGTAGGGATTTAATCGGTTACGGGCTTTGCAAGTGCTTTGGGGGGTGTAGGGCTTTAAAGGGTTTCGTAAACTTGCCTTAAAGCAGTGGCCCCATACTCTACCCGGATACTCTCCCTTTGGAAGTACCTATCCGACGGTGACACTGAGACTGTCGGGGACTTCAGAGCCCTTTTGTGGCATTTGCCAAAAGCCGACACGACTTGGGCCTATGTCCAGGCAGTGCTATTCCTCCCTTTCATGAGGTCGCTGAAGGATCCTTCCAAACTGCATTTTGGGATCTAGGGCAGCCAAGACCCATACTTGTGATAAGCCTGCCCATGAGCTGAGTTGCTGACACTCCAAGTCGGGTGCCTTGCGGGGTCGGACGGGCTCCAAGACAGTGTCAGAGCAGATATTGCAAGCTTGGCCAAATTCACATGGCGCCTGACTTGGCCTCAGATGGCTTTACGGCTTACAGCGTGCTCGTGCTGGGGTCTTAGATGTTAAGGTTTGCCTGAAGCGCCCGAATTCCGTAATTCAGGCACCACTGTGGTACTCTTCGGCCCTAAGCCCCATCCTGGCGCCCCCCCCCCCCATGACCTGCGAGGCTGCTAAGACCCAAACCCAGAACCCGTAAACCCGAAACCCTAAACTTAGATCCCACCCGAAACCCAAAACCCCAAAAAAGCCCTACGACGCCAACCCAAAGTCAAGTCTGACTCCTAAACCGTAAACCCTAAACCCTAAACCCTAAACCCCAAACCCCAAACCCCAAACCCAAACCCCAAACCCCAAACCCCAAACCCCAAACCCCAAACCCCAAACCCCAAACCCCAAACCCTAAACCCTAAACCCTAGAGTGACTCAGGCAGCTGGCCTTCGACTGCCCGGGTGTCGCCGAGGAGCTGAAGCTTGGCTCAGCAGTTCACGGGCGCTGGGCGAGGGTTTGGGGTTTAGGGTTTAGGGTTTAGGGTTTCAGGGTGGGTTTGGCATTTGGGTTTTTGGGGCTCTGGATTCTAGGTTAGTTTTTGGTGTTGGCTTTCGTGGAGTTCTGGAGGAGTTAGGTTTCGACCCTGAACCGACCTTCCAGCTTGAAATCACCTTCAAGAGGCACGCCGTTGAACCCCAGACCCCGAACCCCAGACCCCGAACCCCGAACCCCGAGCCCCAAGCCCCAAACCCCAAACCCCAGCCACAGACTGGAATATCCCTAAACCCTAAACCCTAAACCCTAAACCCTAAACCCTACAGTGGAATCAAAGGACTGGGATGGGCGCATCCTGGCTGCGGCACCCAAATGCAGCTGCTGGGCAGACAGGCGGGGGTGCAGGCTCTGTGTTTAGGGTTTAGGGTTTAGGGTTGTAGGGCTTGGAATAGGGTTTAGGGTTCGGGGTTTAGGTGTGTGGGGTTGATTTCGTCCATTTTTTGGACTAGGGGTTTATCGGTTCAGGGCTTAGGGTTTAACTTGAATTTCTGGGGGGGTGCGGGTTGGGGCAGACGAAATTGGGACCTTCGTATACGACCACATGATGGCAGCTGGACGGCTTTCGGGGGGTTTGGGGCGACAAACCCAAACCCTGAAAACCCATGTGGCCCTGAAACGCTGGCAGACTTTGTAGGGGGCGCCATCCAAGTTCACCCTAAACCCGAAACCCCCAGTAAGGGAGCCAAGTTTCAGATATGTGTGGTTTTTGAGGTCAGGCTTTTTCCCAAATCGCAACCATCTCCTGAAGGCCTACAGTCTTACGTAAGGCGCACATACAGGCTATGAATGCTGTGCATGTTAGTCCACTGCTTACTTTCTTGTGCCCCTACTGGCCGACTGTATTTCTGCTGCTTTCTACAAGAAATCAAAGCCCATCAGGACTAATCTGCGCTGCATGACACACATACCTGGTACGAACTCACACTCAGGGCCCGTACTCTAGATGTTTAACATGGATCCCGAGCCAAAGCCTGCAACAAGGATTCCAAAAGACCCCAAAAAAAGGATCCCTCGTCCGCATTCCTCGTCAACTCATCTTTTTCAAACAGCCCTAAACCCTAAAAACCCTCAACCCTAAACCCTAAGAAGGCTTTGCAGGATCTCGTTGCGAGGGTGAGCAAAAATACCAGAGAGGAAGCCTGACAAACACTTTGAACAAGGATGCCATGTCAAGTTTCATCGTTTACGGATCCTGGAAAATCCAACTGCTATACGAAGGATCACTGTCCGTAACAAGGATCCCGAATTAGCACCCTGGTAGGCTAAAGAAGTTAAAGCAAGGGGACGCTTAACAAGCATACTCCCAAACAAGCATTGCTAATGAATTCTGACTCGTGATCCAGATCAGGGATCCATCAGAGGTCCTCATTGCGATTTTTTATCTAAACCCAATTTTTCTTGACAAGATGGACTACAGATCCTTAGTACAGACCTTCGCCAAGTCTCCCTGGTAAGGATCTCTGGTAAAGAGCGGGAACAACGAAAAAGACCCCTGACAGAGGACTCCAGATCAGGACCCCTTCTTTGATGTTTATTGAGACCTCTTCAAACTTCATGAAACGAGGAGAGCTTCCTTCTCGAGATTCCCAGCCACCGCAGCTTGCAAAGACTCTTGATGTATGAATCATCAATCTTCTCCACACCCAAAACCCTAGAACTCTCAACCCAATAAGCCCTAACCATCAAGTGGAGGTTAACGATATATTGCGGGTACCTTATTGGCGCCCTTTCATAAGGGAATCCTGCTGCTTCGGGGGTCTATTTTAGGTGTCTCTTAGTTTTGTAAACCCCAAACCCTAAACCCTAAACCCTAAACCCCCAAGTAGCAACGCAAGGCCTCTCCGGGGACCTCTTTGCCGTGTCGGCGATACGCCGCTGAGCTGCGTTGCTTCACGCGTACCTGTGGATTTAAGGGTGTATCATGGGGTTACCCTAAACCCTAAACCCTAAACCCTAAACCCTAAACCCTAAACCCTAAACCCTAAACCCTAAACCCTAAACCCTAAACCCTAACCCTCTGAACGGTTCCTAAAGAGCTTTGGGCGTTGGGCTTTTACGTTGGGATGTTCCACTTTACGTTGTTTTTAGGGTTTGGGGTTTAGGGTTCCGCGTTGAGGGTTACTGCAAGGGCAGGAGAATTCGGTGACACGGTTCCCTACTGCCTCAATTAGGGAGCCCTTAGTATACCCCTTATATACCCATCAAAACCAAGGGCCCGTACTTCAGAACCCTTCAAACAAGGCAAGGGACCATATTACGGGACCCTAAACCCTCAACCCTAAAACCCTAAAACCCTCAACCCTAAACCCTAAACCCTAAACCCTAAACCCTAAACACTAAACCCTAAACCCTAAACCCTAAACCCTAAACCCTAAACCCTAAACCCTAAACCCTAAACCCTAAACCCTAAACCCTAAACCCTAAACCCTAAACCTAACCCTAAACCCTAAACCCTAAACCCTAAACCCTAAACCCTAAACCCTAAACCCTAAACCCTAAACCCTAAACCCTAAACCCTAAACCCTAAACCGTAGCGGTTTCATCCCAAGGCTTGGGCACGCGGGCAGCGAACTATGCAGCAGCCTGGCCGCAAAAGCACCGCCCCCTAAGGTTTAGGGTTTAGGGTTTAGGGTTTAGGGTTTAGGGTTTAGGGTTTAGGGTTTAGGGTTTTAGGGTTTTAGGGTTTTAGGGTTTTAGGGTTTAGGGATTAGGGTTTAGAGTTTAGGCTTTAGGGTTTAGGGTTTAGGGGTGGTACCTGAGGCTGGGCCGCTCTTCCCTTTATCTCGTCTCCAATAGGGCCCTTGTACTCTTTTTGGGTCCGAGAAAATCGCTGCAGCCTTTCGGGTGCTGGGCTTCTTTCTCCTGCCTCTTGACTTGCCTCACCTCCACATCCCTTGGCCCTCGATTTCTTAAAGGGAGTGGGGTTGAGGGAAGGATGGTGAGATATTTGGGGAGGTCTTGAGATGTCTAAACCCTAAGCCCTAAACCCTAAACCCTAGACCCTAAACCCTAAACCCTAAACCCTAAACCCTAGAACCAGGATAAATCCCTGCCCAGGTCTGGTCTGCTGCCAACTCCTCCACGCGCGCGGCGATGGGACGGAGCCAGCATACAGAGGCCTCCTTAGTGGGTTTAGGGTTTAAGGGTTTAAGGGTTAGGGGTTTAGCGTTTAGGGGTTTAAGGGTTAGGGGTTTAGGGTTTAGGTTGTAGGGTTTGGGGTTTTTGGGGTTTTTGGGGTTTTGGGGTTTTGGGGTTTTGGGGTTTTGGGGTTTTGGGGTTTTGGGGTTTTGGGGTTTTCGGGTTTTCGGGTTTTCGGGTTTTCGGGTTTTCGGGTTTTCGGGTTTTCGGGTTTTCGGGTTTTCGGGTTTTCGGGTTTTCGGGTTTTCGGGTTTTCGGGTTTTCGGGTTTTCGGGTTTTCGGGTTTTCGGGTTTTCGGGTTTTCGGGTTTTGGGGTTTAGGGGTTTAGGGGTTTAGGGACACTTCTGCCTTCGAAGAGCTGCAGGGTTGTATTTTGGGTTTAGGTTTGGGGATTCGGGTCTAGGAGAAGTGGTTCGGGCCTAAAAACCAGGTGCGGGGTGGGTCGTGACGGCAGGAGCTCATGTTGAGGGGTTAGGGTTTCGGGTTTAGGGCAGAACACCCTGAAACCTCTTCATCACCCCTTCAAGCTCGAATGCAAAACGCCCTGAGCCAGCACATGGATGGCGTGGTCGATAAGGGGGCCCCTACCCTCAAACCCTACGCAAGAACCCTGCCCCCTAAACCCTAAACCCTAAACCCTAAACCCCCCAACTAGAACGCTCAAGCCCTCGCAACACAGGTGCTGCATGCGGCAGAGGTGGCCAAGAAATTGTCCCCCCGCCAGTGCAAGAAGAAGGCGCCCAAGGGGGTCTTTGCTGTCGTGGGCTTCGGGCCCAATTAGGGGCTTCGGGAGTTTTGGGGGTGTCTCTTACGGTTTCTGCCATAGGTAGTAGGTAGGGTCCCCTATGGAGGGCACACCTTGAGAAGAGGGCACACTTTACAATCGAGTCCTTTATCAACAGGACCCACAGAAGTGACCCCCCACTGACAGCACTCCCCTTCCCCCTCTCCATGTGCTGATGGAAGCCGTGCCGTCATCAAGGCGTGGCTCTTTCACCCCAAAGTAACCCCAAGCGCCCACCCCTTAACCGCCTGACACCTATACGCGGGAGTTTCTCTTTTCTGCTGGAGATGGCGTGCCCTTGGAAGGCCCCATAAACAAAAATTGGGGATGAAACCTCCAAATCCTAAACCCCCAACCCTGGACCCTGAACCCTAAACCCTCAACCCTACCCTAAAGCCTTCGAGCCGAAGGCCTTCAAGCGGCCTCCGCTGCTGACCCCGATGAAAAGCGACCCCATGGGCTGCCCAGAGGTTCGCTGCAGGAGAGAAATGGGGGTTTACGATCTCGTCCCTTAGTTCGGTCCTTTAGGGTTTAGGGTTTAGGGGTTAGGGGTTTAGGGTGTTTTAGGGTTTAGGGGTTAGGGTTTAGGCGGTTTAGGGTTTCGGGGTTAGGGGTTTAGGGTTTAGGGTAAAGGGATCCTACTATTTGGGGCCCCCCCCCGTAAGGTCAGAGCCAGTTCTTCGCGCTTTATGACCCCCAGCTACTGTCATAGGCTACCTAGGAGGCTCTAAGTGGGCTACCTAGGAGGCTCTAAGTGGGTTTCAGGGAGATTTTCAAAATTGGAGACCTTGGGGGACTATGGTGTCTAGGCCCAGGGGGGGCTTTGCTGTAGGGGCAATAGGGCCTTGCGATTTAGGGTGATCCTTAAAGCCCACACACTAAAGCCCTCAAAAGCACAGAGTCTTACAATTTAGGGTTTAGGGTTTAGGGTTTAGGGTTTAGGGTTTAGGGTTTAGGGTTTAGGGTTTAGCACCCGCCGGTCGAGTTCAGGGTTGCAAGAACCAAGCCCTAAACCCTCAACTCCTAAACCAGAGGTTTAGGGTTTTGGGGTTTAGGGTTTAGGGTTTAGGGTTTAGGGTTTAGGGTTTAGGGTTTTAGGGTTTAGGGTTTAGGGTTTAGGGTTTAGGGTAGAATTCCCATACCATCCGGAAGCATGCAAAAGTACACAAGAGGGCTTAGGCTGGCGGCAGGTGGCCCCCGGCGACTTTGCCACAAGGTGCCTGCGCAGCCACGAGGACGCGCGTCCATGTGCCGGGGGCTTAAGGTCTAGGGTTTATAGTATAGGGTTTCGGGTTCAGGATTTAGGGTTTTAGGGTTTTGGGTTCATACAAAGTTCAAGGAAATTGCGCATCTTATGCTCACTAAGGTTCTGTTGTTCGTATGCGGGTATCACTGAAGGGCCTGCGCGTCCTCTTCCGGCCAGGGGCTGGGGGCCAAAGTTCCATAAACCAGGAGGAGGGGTGAGAACGCGACTTTCGGCCGCCAAAATTCGCGGTTCTGCCAAACAAGAGGTTCTAAGGGTAGTATACGGATAGGGCGCATGATTTTGGACCAAACAGCAGAGTGAGACCCATTAGCCCCCTAAAGGCCGGAACGAAACATTGATGGCGGCTCGTGTTCCATGCCACCCCAAGTCCTAAACCCTAAACCCCGCGCCCTAAACCCCAAGCCCTAATTAAACCCTAAGCCCTAAACCCTCAACCCTAAAGGTCTTGCGCGGGGCTGCAGCGGACCTGCTCCGCCGTGACTTCCCCCTTGAGAGGCGCCTTTCAATCACGCGGTTTCGGGTTTAGGTATTAGGGTGTAAGGTTCAAGGTTTAAGGTTTGGGGGGCTTCCGCCGCTTTCGTTGGCAATATTCGGCTCTGTGCTCCGTGGACTGCTAGCTTTGGGCATTGTTACCCCTGACCTTCATTCGCATTTCCTTGCTGCTGTTGTGCCACGTCATTCTTCTGCAAAACCCTAAACAGAAGGGCATTCGGTGCGATGAATGACTTCACTCGGTTACTCGGTATCCGGAGCCATACCATCACTTTTCTCATTTCAACCTGTGTCTCACCTTTAACTAAATCCTAAACCCTAAACCCTAAATCCTAAACCCCAAACCCTAAACCCTAAACCCCAAACCCTAAACCGGTTTCCTTGGGCGCATCACCGATGTCATCATGAGGTGAGCTCCCAAACTCCAGGATCTGGTTGTTGTTTTGGTCCAGAGTTTGGTGGCTCTTTCCTTTTTATGACTCGTTCATCCTGTTCATGCTTTCTCCAGATGGTGAAAGACGATCTGTGTTTAGAAAGTATGAATATTCTTTTATGAGCTAAGGACACCCAGCCGTTGGAAGACAAAGATCCTCAAATGACAATGTTTTGAATCAAGAGAAACCAAAAGGATGATCCCATGAAATACTACAGTACTCAGAGTTCTAGGATAAACTCAGTAGCCTTGCAAGGGCTGATGTATGATTGACTTTGAAGCAGGAAAACGTCGAGCTTGGACACGATTGAATATCATGCCTGACTTCTGTGTTGGCCGGGGGGGGGGGGGGGAGGAGTGCCTGTCCTAAGGCGTCTCGCTTAAGAACTCCCTACTAGCTGAAACTGTCCAGAGCTGAACACTCGACCCCAAACCCGAACTACCCCAAGCCCCCGATGCTCCAAATCCCCAAGTACCCTGAAAAGTGCCCTGAACACACAAAACATCCGGGACCATGACCGTAAACCCTCACTACACCAAACTATATAGAACGTCATCGAACGGTTGCACCCCAAGCCCTAATGCCCAAATTTTGTGGGCACCTGCTAGCGGCCCAACCCTAAGCCCTAAAGCAACAAAAGCCCTTACCCAGGCCTCTGGCGCGCTGGTTGGAGGCGGGGGGGAACCAGACCGTCAAGGTCTCCTTCCCCTACGAGGCCTGATGGCTAGGGGGAGTGGGGGGGCGGGGGGGTGGGGGGGGCTTCATATCGGGTTTGAGGGAGTTTAGGGTTTGGGGTTTTTGGGGGTTATTATCGTATAAATATGAGGGAATACGATAAGTAGCTATTCCGACCCTGTGTTGGGGTTTGGGATTTAGATGTAGGGTTTAGGGTTTAGGGTTTAGGAATACATGCCGGAGAGGCCGCACCCTGCCAAAAACCAGAGAACAGCACATTGGCTGGGCTGCAGCGTCACTTTGTGGATTCAATGAACCAGTGCGCGAACTCAAGCGACCCACAACTGCATGGATGGACGCTTCACCTCTTTGTTTCCAAAGGTGATGGGCAACACAAAAAGGAGTGGCTTCAAGCGCCGCGGCATTATAGCAACCTGGGAGGAAAGGACAGTGAAGCTGCGCGCTGTTCCCCGCGGTCTTTGTAACTCTGGGAGCAAGCCATGGGCCGACATTTTCGGAGGCATTTAACAACCAAACTGATCTTTGATCAGGCAGCTGCAACTTGCGTTTGGGCTTAACTAGTTTGTGTCTTGTTTTGAAAAAATAGACACCGGATCATTCTTTTCAGATGTATATAGCTCAGGCGTCGGCGAGGGCATTGGGTGTCCTGACTATATACGCGTGGGCAAATTTAACTTGCAACGAAACAGATTTCAACTAAATACGTGCGCTTTTACCGGTGTGTTTGGCCGACCCGCAGCATAGCGGTGCTATAAGCAAATGGAAAGGGTCTGGGGCAGGGCTATGATGCTTCTGTAAGCAAGTGGAATAACCCCGTTGTCAAGAGTGCTAGGTAGGCTCTGGGGAGAATTTTTATACTTTTGCTTATTTTTCAGGATCATATGTAAGGATGTTTTTGGTAGTTTTTTGGAGATTTTATACGTTTCCTTATTTTTCAGGTTCAGATGTAAGGATATTTTTGTCAGAGGGTCCTAGTCAGCAGTCTAAACCCTAAACCCTAGACCCTAAACCCTAAACCCTCAGCTACAGAGGCCCTTCGCCTCTTGTGCCGGTGGATCCACTCATCGAGAGTGCCCACCTGTTCACGCAGACTCCTTGCCAGGTTCCCAACCTGGGGGTTTAGGGTTTAGGGTTTAGGGCTTAGGGTTTAGGGTTTAGGGTTTAGGGTTTAGGGTTTAGGGTTTAGGGTTTAGGGTTTAGGGTTTAGGGTTTAGGTGGGCCAGGAGGCGTGTCGCCAAACCCGAGGCAGAGCTACAGGCAGCGCAGGCCCACCTCGAGGTGAACGCAGCGAACTGGCTGAGGGCGTCTGTGGCGGCGACCAAGGCGGAGATGTCCCAAGTGAAGATGTCACAGGTTTAGGGTTTAGGGTTTTAGGGTTTTAGGGTTTACGGTTTTAGGGTTTTAGGGTTTTAGGGTTTTAGGGCTTTAGGGCTTTAGGGCTTTAGGGTTTTAGGGTTTAGGGTCAGCAGCTTGGGTCCATGTTTTCGAAGCTTGCATCACCAGAAAGTCTCCAGTGGGAGGGGGGGCCTTTGCTGGCGTCTTGCGCCTTAAGCGTTGTTGGAGCTATGTGGGGTTTCAAGAGGTTGCGTTACAGGTGCCCTAAACCCTGAACGCTAAACCCTAAACGCTACACCCTAAACCTTAAGCCCTTAGCCCTAAACCCTAAACCCCAAACCCTAAACCCTAAACACTAAACCGGAACCCACTTTCCCTTTGGATCAGGGCGTGGCGGGCGTGGCCTCGCTGAATCGGATCGAGGCACGGGCCCCAGGGTGTTTAGGATTTAAGGTTTAGGGTTCAGGGTTTAGAGTTTAGGGTTTAGGGTGTAAGTTTAGGGTTTGTGTCTAGGAATAAGGGCTTAGGATTTAGGGTCTGTGTTGAGGGTTTAGGGTTGAGGGTTGAGGGTTGAGAGTTTAGGGTTCAGGGTTTAGGGTTTAGGGTTTGGTGTGCAAGCCGCAGGGGCATGTCGAGGTCGGGTGGCTTCGCGGTTTAGGAGATTCGGGTGAAAGGGCTTCGGGTTGAAGATGTATTGAGGTAAAGAGGCTATAGAGTGTAGGCCTTTTAAAGGGCCTCAGGGCTCGAAAGTTCGAAGAAACCCAGAAGCCTTGTGAGCTGCCCATGATACCTTCAGTATCAAGTGAACTTATAGCGCCCCACGAGCCCTCTAGGCAAAGATACATGATCTCTACCTCCTCTCTAAACCCCATAAGCCTTACAAACGCTGTAAACCAGAAGCCCTACAAGCCCTGCAAGTCCAACCCGAAACCCTAAACCCGAAACCCTAAACCCGAAACCCTAAAGCCCAAACCCTAAACCCTAAACCCTAAAGCCCAAACCCTAAACCCTAAACCCTAAACCCTAAACCCTAAACCCTAAACCCTAAACCCTAAACCCTAAACCCTAAACCCTAAACCCTAAACCCTAAAACCTAAACCCTAAACCCTAAACCCTAAACCCTAAACACAAAACCCTAAACCCTAAACCCTAAACCCTAAACCCTAAACCCTAAACCCTAAACCCTAAACCCTAAACCCTAAACCCTAAACCCTAAACCCTAAACCCTAAACCCTAAACCCTAAACCCTAAACCGTACCTAAACCCCAAACCCTAAACCCTACAAGCCTTTCTTCCAGCCATGGCAGGCCACCAGCCGTGCCTCGCAGCGAGAGGCCTCGTTCGATTTGGGGTTGCCCAGAGCCCTGGTTTAGGGTTTAGGGTTTAGGGTTTAGGGTTTAGGGTTTAGGGTTTAGGGTTTAGGGTTTAGGGTTTAGGGTTTAGGGTTCAGGCTTGCTGAGTCCGCCGACAACCCGTTCAGGGGTCAGAGGTTTTGCGCACGCGCCCTTGTCGCAAGAATGCCAGGGGGCCAACGCAAGTAGCGAGGGCGCCCCTCCCTGGACGCTGTTGCGGCCAGGCCCTCCCTTTCTTGGTGGGAGATGGGTTTACAGGGACTACGGGGTTCAGCGGGTTTATGCAGGGGGGATTATTGGGGCTTATGGGGCCTAAACCCTAAAGCCTAAAGCCTGAGCCCTAAACCCTAAACCCTAAACCCTAAACCCTAAACCCTAAACCCTAAACCCTAAACCCTAAACCCTAAACCGCCCTACCCTTGAAGCCCCAAAGCCAGGCAACTGGCACATGCGCCTCGCGGATGCGGTGGCCTTTGCCGAGCGGCATCCATCGCAGGCGGCGGTGGCCCTGCCCGTGGGGTTTAGGGTTTAGGGTTTAGGGTTTAGGGTTTAGGGTTTAGGGCGTAGGGCTTAGGGTTTAGGGATGTATGGTTTAGGGTTGTATGGTTGGGGGTCTAGGCGTAGGCGTGTGCCTGTGGCAACCCCTCACCACCGTCCAAACAAGCTAACCTAGAAGCCGAAACCCTAAACCCTAAACCCTAAACCCTAAACCCTAAACCCTCGTAACCCGAGTATAAAGCCCGAAGCTGCGAACACTGCACCAAGTATGTCCATGTCTTCCGTGTACTTCCCCGATAAACGGGACAGACTAGGGTCCGGGTGATAGGGTTCTCAAGGCTCGCAGGTTTCTTTTTGTAGGGTTTATAGGGTTTTTGGGTTTAGGGCTTTTAGGGCTCAGAGGGCGTTGACAGGGTTTCCAGGGTTTCGGGTCTAGACGGGGTCGTTTGAGAGCGTGCAGGCAGTGCAGTGCCATGGAGCTCAGGGTCCAGCGCCTCCCTCCCCCTATGAATCCCAACCGAAACCCTAAGCCCTCAGCACAAACCCTAAACCCTAAACCCTAGACCCTAAACCCTAGACCCTAAACCCTAAACCACAAAAGTCGAGGCGATCTACATGAACCAGGTGATGCTGCAAGACCTTGGGGCGAAGGCCCCAGGGGTCTTCGCCACCGGATCTCCTCGTGTGGAAGTCGGAAACTTTGTCTTGGTAAACCCCTACAATCTCCCCCTTGGGAGTTTTTTTTTATATATAAAACCCAAGAGGATATTAAAAATAGTATTTTTAAGGTTCTAAGGGGAGTATAGCCTAGGCCCTAGGCATCAAGCCCAGCTTTTCCTTTATGAAAGATGGGGGTGGGGCTGGGGATTCAGGCTTCGACATCTCCAGGATTCAAGCTTCAGGGTTTGGGGGCTAGGACCCACCCTAAAATCTTTTTCTGAAGCCCTGCCTCCCTTCCGAAGCGCTCCCCTGTCTACCCCCCCCGGCGCCTTCCTACCTCCGCCACAAAGAGCGTTCTGAGTTTTAGGCATTATAGGGGTCAGGGTTTAGGGTTGCGTTGGGCCGGCCCGGCTGCCGAGGCGGCGTGCGCAAGTGTTTTCAATTACCTCCGAAGCTCCGGGGGGTTCCTCGTGCCGCGTCAACTCGTCGCTCGCTTAACTTCACAGGCCAGGTCATCCCGAAACCGTTTGCTTGCATTCCGGAAGAGCTTAGGAACTGAGGGGGGTCCAGGATTCAGAAGTCCCCAGGAAGCGTGCGGAGGTCTCGGGGAGATGTGGTCTATGTCAAAGGGCCCACAGGCTGGAAGCCCTGGTGTCCTCTTTTCAAGCGAGCAGTTCGGGCAGGTCCCATAGCAGACGGGGGGGGGGGGGGGGGGGGGGAGGTGGCCAACTAATTTCTGGTTGGGAAGTCCTAGGTAAGATAAGGGGGAGCCTTGAAAGGGAACCTTAACCCTCTTCTGGCTCTCTTAAGCAGGGACCTTATTCAGAGGGTCTATATCCCCAAGGGCCCCCCTAATCCTATCCCCTAGGAAGGTTGGGAAGCAGACCGGATCCGGGTCTGCTTGCTCTGGTGCGCCTCTCGGTTTAGGGTTTAGGGTTTAGGGTTTAGGGTTTAGGGTTTAGGGTTTAGGGTTTAGGGTTTAGGGTTTAGGGTTTAGGGTCACCCGAAACCGTACGAAGCCCTAACCTCTGCCTAAACCCCAAGCGGAGAAAGCCAGGTTCCCGTGTGGGGCTTGCAAATGTTCGTGGGGAGGCGCTGCGGAACCTTCGCTTGCCTTCCTGGGCAAAGTCGCTGAAGCTGGTGTGTCCTGGATGGTGTAAGGGTTGAGGGTTTAGGGTTTAGGGTTTAGGGATTTAGGGGTTTAGGGGTTCAGGGTTAGGGTTTAGGGTTTAGGGTTTAGGGTTTAGGGTTTAGGGTTTAGGGCTTAATGTCGTATCCTGATTAGTCTGGACCCCTCCAATAATGAAAAGTTTTCCAAAAATTATTCAGGAGACAAAAATTCGATTGCCCCCCCACAATAAAGTAAAGTTTTTCGGGCATGGGTTTCGGAAGAGAGAAAAAAAGAGAACAAGATGATGAAAGAAAAGAGCAAAAGAAGAGCAGCTTCAAGTCGGAGTTCTGAGCTGTCATCCCCAACCTAAGCTGAGTAGCTGAGCTGTGAATCTTTACCTAAGAGGAGAAGGAGAGGAAGAGGAGAGGGAAGAGGAGCGAAGAGGAAATGAAGAGGAGCCGGTGGGGGCCCGGGGCCGAAAATTAGTTTGGGGGGGTCCCTTTTTTTGGTGACACTATTGCGGGGGTGGATTTAGTTTGTGGGGGGGGGGGGGGGGCCCACACTAATCAGGATACCACATTAGGGTTTAGGGTTTAGGGTATGGGGTTTAGGGTTTTTGGTTTTTGGTTTAGGGTTTAGGGTTTAGGGTTTAGGGTTTAGGGGTCCCGTGTAGGGTTTAGGGTCCCGTTGAGAGTTTGCAGGGTTTGTAGGTTTTAAACTGGTCAGCACGTTCACAGTTGTAATGTTAATGAAGCGGCAACAGACACCGTTTAAGTATACTAGGCTCACAGGGGTTTGGATACTAGATAATCATGTAGACGTGCGTGTGCCCACAGAAATAGTGTCATGCACACGCATCCGCTACAACACCACAGAATGCACCTGCTCCCAGAATCATATTAATAATCATGAATAAGAAGACTAGTCATCATAATACTATTTGGGCCTTTTTTGGGAATCATTTTTTCTTTTTGTTCATATAAAACCCAAGAGGATATTAATACGGTTGTTTTTATTCAGGTTCTAAGGGGTGTATAGTAGTGGGGGCACATGGTCCTTTGTGTGTGTGTGGTCCAACAGCACAAAGGTGACAGGCCCAGGTCTTTGAAGCTCCAACACCTTGTCCGCTCAGACAACCTTGTATTCTCGCTTTCCCACCTTAGGGTTTAGGGTTTCAGGGTTAAGGGTTTCGGGTTTAGGGTTTAAGGGTTTAAGGGTTTAGGGTTTTAGGAGCCTTTTCCCCTTGAGAATCAGCATGTCCATCACCGAACTCGACACGACGAAGCTCCTCCGTCACACGCAATGCCCTCAACCCCCAATACAGGAGCCTAAGATGTTGACAAGATCAATAGTGCAAACTAGCCTTATCGTACCCATCCTCATTAAGAACCCCCCCCCCCCCCCCCCCGCTCTCCCCCAAATAGGGATTCTGGCCATGCTGCGCCTCGTACCCTTTCTCCGCGGATTGTCATCGCCATGCGACTATCCCGTATGAATCTAAGGAACGCTTCTGCCCCAAAGTGGTGTGCCCGTTTCTCTCCTACGATGAACCCAAAAGGGTTTAAGGTCTCCTGGGAATTATAGCAGTTTAGGGTATATGGCCCCCCAATTTTAAGGGTCATTTGGGTCCCCAGGGCAGGAAGCCTTGGCCTCCATAAGTGACTGAGGCAGCCTTCTCTGTGGCTCACTGCAGGTCGCGTGATTTGGGGGGTCCTGGCTTCCCCCCAGTGTCTCTACGGTTCTAGGGTTCTTAAGGGAGGGGGGGGGGTAAGGGGGGGGGGTATGTAAGACAGGTTTCTCTTGCCCCTCTACTCCCTCAGGCTCCCTCAGCTTCCCTAAGGTTCCCTAGGTACCTACCCCGCATGAAGTCCCTTAAGAACCCTTTTGAATCAAGACGCCAACTCCTGGAGTCGCTAAACTCCACTAAAACCTTGGGCACTCAAGCCCGTATGGCCCCTTAAGCCCTCAAGCAACGGCGAAAGCTCGTACAAGCCCGAAACCTTGGGGACCGAATGAACCCTAAAAATGAGGGGTCATATACCCTAGACTACTCTAATTCCTATTTAAGGTGTAAGAACCCTACATCCCAAACCCTACTAAGCCCCAAACCCTGAACCCTCTTAGGGTTCATGTCGTCCCCAAGGAAGACCCCCAGGCCTGCTGTTCTACTCTTTAGGGCTGTAGCATGACATCGGGTTTAGGGTTTAGGGTTTAGCGTTTAGGGTTTAGGGTTTAGGGTTTAGGGTTTAGGGTTAGGGTTTAGGGTTTAGAGTTTAGGGTTTAGGGTTTAGGGTTAAGGGTACGGGTCGGAATAATTACTAATAGTATTCCCTCAGGGTCCTTTATCATCATACTAAAATAACCCCGAAAACCCTTATGGGCTCGGTTTAGGGGTTTAGGGTTTAGGGCTGAGGGCTTTGGATTCCGGGTTTAGGGTTCAGGAGTTCGGGCTTAGGGTTGAGGATTCTGGGTGGGTTTAAGAGTTTTTAAGGCTTTGTGGGGGATGGTGGGGAGTGATGGGAAGGTAGGGCTTCAGGCGTTGAGCTCTTCTTTGGGATTCAAGGAGTGTATCGCAGGGACATTACGAGCTTCCTCACATTCAAAGACGCTTGGCAAGCGGCCCTTGGCTTGCGCTACCTCCGCTTGAACAGGAAAGAAGCAGACCTACTCGTGGCCGTATATGCAGCAATAGAACAGGGGGCCTTGGTAAAGTCATGGAGGGTGCACGATGCTTACGGAGAAGAGCAAGCTGAACAAGGATTGGACAATGTTTTCGGACGTTGAGCTCTTCTTTGGGACTCAAGGCGAGTTCGCGTAGATACTTCACCCAACCCTCAACCTCGAACAAGACATGGGAGGTTCTAAGTTTATGGTCCCATGTGGGTTTCCTTTCATGATACGGAGCCTCAAATGTTATAGGGCAAGCTCGAAGGACCCATAGTTTAGAGAATTCCCCCACGTGGGATGTGAGGGCTTGGCAGGTAGAGGTGGTGGAGGGTTTTTGGGATTATGGGTCCCGAAACCCATATTCCCCTTGCACGGGACAGATAAGCCACTACATCAGGGTGGTCCCAAGAGCCTTTCCCTCAAAAGACTGCTAGGGTTAGTTTAGGGTTCACCCCTCATAGCGCCACATTACCTGCGACCTCAGAGCTATCACCCTAAACCCTAAACCCTAAACCCTAAACCCTAAACCCTAAACCCTAAACCCTAAACCCTAAACCCTAAACCCTAAACCCTAAACCCTAAACCCTAAACCCTAAACCCTAAACCCTAAACCCTAAACCCCCCCCCCCCCCCCCCCCCCCACCCGCTGGAGCCGCAGATGTGGCCTTGACGGGCTTCCACGTGGATGGCCCGGAGAACCTGCTGGTGCAGCTCGCTGGAAGCAAGGCTGGGCCGGAAAAAACCCTGAACCCTAAACCCTAAACCCTAAACCCTAAACCCTAAACCCTAAACTTAAACCCTAAACCCTAAACCCTACACCCTAAACCCTAAGCCCTAAACCCTAGCCCTAAACCCTAAATCCTACTCCAGTTATTACGGATCTGCAGTTGGGGATTCGGGCATAGTTACGCATGCCAGTTAGTTCTCTAACCTAGGTTTTCTCTTTAGGTTCTTGTAAGGGGGTTGTACATATATGGGGAGCCCCAGAAGGTGGGTTTAGGGTTTAGGATTTCGGGTTGAGGGTTCCCAGTCCTGCGGCACTTCTTTCATTGTCGTGCCTGGCCGGGCATTGTCACTCTTGCAGGCCCAGATAGCAAGACTCTTACGAAGAAAGGTTTAGGGTTCAGGGTTTAGGGTTTCGGGTAGTTTAGGGCTCAGGACAGGCATAGGGGCTGGGCAGAGTTTGGGTCAGTGCCTGCCTAAACCCCCGAAAAAACCCCTAAACACAACCGGGAATCCCTAAACCCTATACCCTAGTCCCTAAACCCTGAATCCTAAATCTTAAACCCTAGCCCTAAACCCTGAACCCTAAACCCTGAACCCTGAACCCTGAACCCGAAGCTCTGACGCCAGGAGCTTGCCTTGCTCCGGCCCAGCGAGAGATCCAAGCTGGCATACGAGGCCCCGGCCCCGTTTTGGCGGGTTTAGGGTTTAGGGTTTAGGACTTAGGACTTAGGACTTAGGACTTAGGACTTAGGACTTAGGGTTTAGGGTTTAGGGTTTAGGGTTTAGGGTTTAGGGTTTAGGGTTTAGGGTTTAGGGTTTAGGGTTTAGGGTTTAGGCCTTTTGGGGAAAGTCGCAGTTCTCAAAAGTGATGTAGCTTCATCAGCCCTAAGCCCTAAACCCTTAGCCCTAAACCCTATAGGCCCTAGGCCATTAAAAAAAAAAAAAACATAGACCATGTGGGTTGCAGTCCGCCGCCCCCCCCCCCCCCAGTTTATCTGAACCACACTGCTACACTGGGGCCTAGTATTTTCCTGGTTGGGGGTAGGTAGGGTGAGGGGTAACATAGGAATAGGATCCAATGTTCTCCCTTCTGTGCATCGTTTTGAGATGTTTTGAGAGTTCCCAGGCTGAGGCCATCAACCCTCAACCCTAAACCCTAAACCCTAAACCCTAAACCCCCTAGGCCCGTTCTACAGCATCTACCGCATGTGATAACTCGAAACATGCCCAGGCCCGGAACCCTACGCCCGTAATTTGGGAGAGAAGGTGTAAGTAACCCTTAAACCCTTACACCCTTACACCGTTACACCCTTAAACCTTTAAGCCCTTAAACCCTCAAACCCTTATTTCTACAGGAAGGCCGGAGCACTGAACCCAATCTGGTTACACGCACACCCGACCCGACATACGGAATTGAGGGGGCCTCCTTAAGGATACCCGAAAGACAATGACATCTCTCAGTTAGGGTTTAGGGTTTAGGTGTATAGGTATGGATACATGTGTATCTATAGGCATGTCTCTATAGATGTGCAGAGAAGTCGATATGAAAGAATATGTAGATGTGTAGGCATGCATGTAAGAGTATGCGTGCATGGGTTATATGTATTCATACATGTGCGTGTGTATATGCATTCTTGTGTCTGCTTCATCTGTCACCCCCTGAACCCTACAAGCCTAGGCTGAAGAGTCTTCTCGCTGACAAAAGTCTGATTGAAGATGGCCCCTCTTTCTTCATCCCACTGAACGCCGTCCAAGCCGGCAGGCCATCCTAATGTTTTCCTTTCCCTGAACCCTAAACCCTAAACCCTAATTTTTTTTAACCGACCTCTTGCGTGATAGCGTGATACTTCCTCAGGGGCCTGGGGCATGCGAAACCTGGTTCGGTCTGCGCCATGGGGGCGTAAGGCCGCTCTCTAGAGTTCAGGGCTTAGGGTTTAGGGTTTGATGTTTAGGGTGTAGGGTTTAGGGTTTAGGGAATACTTGCCACCTGAAGACCAGAATCAAGGCGGCTGGGCCCCCAGAAAGGGCGTCTAGAGTCCGGGGCGAACTTGTGCTCCGAACCCGCATGTTGAGAATTTCGTATGCTCACATACTGGTCCATGAGCATCAACGCGCATCTGCATAGACGCCTAAGTGTGAGTTGCGGTGCCGCTTGCCTGAGCCGATTCAGAGGGCAACCACAGTCGACAGTGTCCAGTGACAGCCACGCATACTGGGCTGACAATAGTTCCCCTTTTGTGTAGGTCTAACTTCCTTAGCACCATGAAAAATGGCGTGCCATGTGACCTATAAGATTCTCAAAAAGCACGCAAGCACAAGCTCCCAGTACCCCCAGGGCAAGACAGTGCCTTCAAGTAACCCGGGAAATCTCTCGATGCTTCTACGCCAGGCTCATCAGGTTGGGATCTGCATCTTTGTCCTGAAGACACGAGTTTTACGCAATCGCTCGAAGTTCACAGACTGCTAGCTGCTTTTGGGAAGGTTGACCGATGGACAAAAACAACAACAGGAAGGCTGCAAAAGTAGCGCGTGGAATCGCCTCGCGTTCGGTGAGGCCATTGGGGCACAGGCCACGAACGGTCGTTCCTGGTCTGAGCTAGGTAGCAGGCTGTGCGTCATGTATGTTGACACTTGACATGAGGGTTTTCAACACGCAGCGGCCCATGGACTTTGCTCGCGGGACTTAGTACACATCTTGAGTTCGACAAAACCTAAGGACCCAGAGAAATTTGATCTTCACCGGGTCCTCAAATGCCCCCTTGTTTAACTTGCCCTACAGAAGTTAGCGCACCTGAATTTCCTGCCATCCCTGTCCTGATCCATGCGAGGAAATGATCGATGCAGAGCCAAAGACTACGCTCTCATCGGATGGTCTCGCCAGCATAGGTGAAGCCGGGGGTCGGGGATGTCATGGATTTTTCGGAGATTTCTGAGAGAGGTTTCTGTTGATTTGTGTAGAGTTGGCATTAACAAGGCACATTGTTGCCATTGGCAGCCATATCCGCACGCCTTGTTGTGGTTGCTGGGCCGTTGAAACAGGAAAGTTCAGATGATCGGAAGGCATTCGCAGACCTCAGCCTTCTGAAGTTCCGAGAGCCCCAAACAAAACCACATGCCAAAATCTGGTACATGCGTGACTTACGCTAATGCTATGGGTCTTTAGGCACCTAGACCCTAAACCGTAAACCCTGAGCTATGCGGAATAATCACATCAACCCTCATCCCAAATGTAAAACATGGCCCCAGCTTCCGCCAGCCGAAGCTGCTCCTGGGTTTAGGGTTTAGGGTTTAGGGTCTAGGGTTTAGGGTCTCGAAGTAGGGTTTAGGGTTTAGGGTTTCGGGTTTAGGGTTTAGGGTTGAGGATTTGGTTTAGGGTCTTTTCAGGCAGCTACGACTTCCAGCGCCGGAGTTCAGGCACGGATCAGGGTTTTGGCGGGTAGGGAAACTCTAGAGTTTGAGGGGGTCGGATTTTAAGGGCAGAGCGTGTGTGTGGCATGGCATTTTGGAGAGGGGGGAGAGGGTTTGGGGAGGGCTTCAGGTTTATGGGCCCCTAAACCCAAAACCCTAAACCCTAAACCCTAAACCCGCTCAGGGCGGGCGTGGCTCCTTGAGGCTGTCAGGTCTGGGCGTCAGTTTGGGATCTGATCTAACATTTCGGTCTTTTCATTTCCTGGTTCTTAGTAGGCTAAACCCTAAACCCTAAACCCTAAACCCTAAACCCTAAACCCTAAACCCTAAACCCTAAACCCTAAACCCTAAACCCTAAACCCTAAACCCTAAACCCTAAACCCTAAACCCTAAACCCTAAACCCTAAACCCTACCCCTGTAACCCAAAATCCATTGGCACTCCCACCCAGCGGCATGCCCACCCATTGTTCTCCAACATGACACGGCACAGGCCTTCCGGACTCCCCGCCCCCCAGTTTAGGGGGTTAAGGGTTTAGGGTTGAAGGTGTCGGGTTTTAGGGTTGTAGGTTTAGGGTTTAGGGACCCCCTCCCCCCAAGCACCTGGCTGAGGTTTACAGGGTCGAGGGCACATGCCTAACCGCCACACCCTCCACCGAAAGCCTCAAACTCCAAACCTTAAGCTGATTCTTATAAACCCTAAACCCTAAACCCTAAACACTCTAAGCCCGGAACCCCACAGAAGCTGGAAAGAAGGCCATTCCGCCATCGACGTGGGTGCCGAGCCGGAGGAGAAGCATAGTCTTAGTAGCTGAGGGCCTACCGGGCTTCCTTGCCTTCTAACGGGTTTGTACAGCTGAATATAGGGGGCCTGAATAATTAGAACAGGTTTTTTTTTTTTTGTTTGTGTTTTTTTTTTTTTTGGGGGGGGGGGGGGGGGGGGGGGGGGGGTGTTTATAGTATATTCATAAAGGGGCCATGAGGGAATACAATTCGTAATGATTCCGACCCCCCAAGATCATGCGGCCGAAAAAAGGAGAGCTGCCTCGGAGCCCTTCAGCTTTTTGAGGGGTGAGGGTTTAGGGTTTAGGGTTTAGGGTTTAGGGATATTGGGATATTGGGGGGAACTGGCGGCTTTGGGAGATCCCGCCTTTCGGTTTTTTTTTTTTTTTTTTTGGGGGGGGGGGGGGGGCTCGGTCTCTTGAGACCTCAAGCCCGGGTAGCCCAATGGTACCCTTTTCCCTTGTTGTTGGGCTCAAGGTTCCCTTCTAAAGTAACCAACCCCCACCCCCCCACCCCCCCCCCAAAAAAAAAGGGTGCCCCTACTAGAATATGGGTACTTGGGCTACTGAGAAGCCTAAACCCTAAGCCTTAAAACTCTGTAGGCCCCAAAACCTTGCAACCCCAACCCAAAGCCTTTGGATTTGGGTTTAGGGTTTAGGGTTTTGGGTTCGGGGCTAGGCCCCAAAACCTTGCAACCCCAACACCCCAAAGCCCTTGCCACCCAAGATGGAAGGCTTCCAGAAATGGGGCGGGGGGGGGGGGGGGGGGGAGGCGAAAACGCCCTGCGCTCAAACCTTCATCTCAAGGTTTCTGGATTTGGGGTTTAGGGTTTAGGGTTTAGGGTTCGGGGCTAGGGTAGGCTACAAAAGTTGGGGTTGGGGGTTGCTTGAAGGCTCAGGGAGTAGGCAAAAAAGTGCCACGGGGTACTGGGAATCGGGAGACTCCACATGGGTAGTTCTCTAAGTTCGGGGTCCTTTTTGGGGGGTCCGAAATAGAATATACAAGATGCAGCGCCCTTGTAGGAAGGCCCCAAAAAGGGACCCTAATCAAGAGAACCACCCACATGCAGGATGTGCCGCGTGAGCTTCTCGAGAGCTACAGTCAGGCTCCTTTTTGCAATGTGGGTTCTGTGGACCATTGTGGACCGGGCTCTCTTCGGGTATTTTTTGGCTTCAGGGTAACACCCCTCCCCCCCCCCACCCACACACACACACACGAAAACAAGATGTACCAGGCGAGGATGAAGAACGTAGAAGCATAACGGCAACAGATGACGACATCACGATTTCCAGAAGGGACCTCATATGTACAAATCACGGGCTGTTGTAGCCGATACTGGGTTTAAGGTTTTTAGATCTGCACCCTAAACCCTAGACCCTAAACCCCAAACCCTATATAAAAAAAAAAAACCTGCGGGATTTGAGGGTTTTTAAGGTTTAGGGTTCTGTGTTTATACTTACTGACCACACGTGGACAGGCCGAAGGCACTCTTTGCAAGATTGAGCCCGGCGACGTCCTGCACCCTGGCAGGAAGTAAAACTCGGAAAGCCCCGGAGGCTTAGCATCAAAGGTCAGGGTGTACACAGGGCTTAGGATTAGGGTTCAGGGTTTTGGGTTGGGGTACTTGGATTTAGGGGGCATTTCGGGTATTTAGGGCATCGTAGGGTGTAGGGTTTCGGGTTTAGAGGATCCCTAGAAATATTTTCCCCTAAAAGCCGAGAAACCCTGAACTAAAACCTCTTGGCGTAGAAAACCTCAAGGAGCAGCAAAACCTCACTGACCAAAGGGTCGGACAAGAATTCAGGGCTCTGGATACGTAGTTTAGGGTTTAGGGTTTTTTAGGGCTTAGGGATTCCACGGCTTAAGGTTTAGGGTCTCTTCAAGGCTTCAGAACGTCTAGGGGTTTGGGGATATCTGGCGGGTGTCCGGGAGCTCAGTTCTCTTGTTATGGTCAGCCATGGGGTCATGGTTCGCATACGGGCCCCTAAACCCTAAACCCTAAACCCTAAACCCTAAACCCTGAACCGAGAAGGGGCACTATTCTTGCGAAAGAGCTTGGCCATGCCGTCCCTCAAGTGAAGCCAGGGTTCAAGCTTTGGGCGTTGTCGGAGGTCGGGGTTTAGGGGGGGGTCGGGGGTAGCACCAGCCCAACAACTGGGGGTGGGTGGGGGGGGTAGGGGTAGGGGGGGGGGGGGGGGTAAGGGGGTTGCGGAAAGAAACATTGGTGGAAGCTAAGCCCTCAATCGAGGGCATGGTAGGGGGGGGTTAGGGGGGGGGGGGGGTAGGGGGGGGTAGGTAGGGGGGGTAGGGGGGGGTAGGGGTTGGGCGGATGTTCCGCCTGGCCCTCCATGGAAAAGCTGCCCGGGAACCCCCGGCGTTTTGGGGGGGGTAAGGAGGGAAAGAGGGTCGGCGGACCCTAAACCCTAAACCCTAAACCCTAAACCCCAAACCCTAAACCCTAAACCCCAAACCCTAAACCCGAAAAAGGTTTAAATGCTTGTTGGGGCTTCGGAGGGCCTCCGAGCAGGGGCCAGGGCCGCAACCGAAGACCACACGACCAACCGCGCAACCCTAAACCCTAAACCCTAAACCCTAAACCCTAAACCCTAAACCCTAAACCCTAAACCCTGAACCGCAAGTTGCTAAGGACCAGCCTACAAGCCCTAAACACATGCCCTAAACCCTATAAACCCTTAATACCATAACCCTAAACCCCCAAGCCTCTCTGCTCATGCGTTGGTCACCCACGAGCCTGAACCCTCGTAGGTCCCAGTTTTTGTGTCAAGGGGCATTTGTGCTTTTGTAGCATCGGATGTAGGAGTTTGAATGTGTAGGCTTTAAAATTTAAAATTGGGTTTCCGACCAGGTACATTCCAGCACAGTGGCATCATGCAGTGCTGACAGTTCCAGATGAGAGCTGTATAGCTTTAAGTCTAAACCTCTGGTACCACCGAGTCGCGGACGTGGAAACTGTGACAAAATCAATGCCAGCTGCATCATCTGGGGAAGGACATCCAGACACGCTGAGGTTCAGGGCTTGGGGTTTAGGGTTTCGGGTTTCGGGTTTAGGGCCTTCTTTGTGTTTAGGGTTAGGGTACAGAGTCTTCATTCGAAAGAAGCCCCTGTGATCCGCATGCCCGAAGTCGAATCCCTTCATCAATTGAGAGCCCGATGGTGCCTGGCCAAGCCTCAGAAACTTGCAGTTGGCTTGTAGTTACTACCAATTGCTTAAGAACCCCCCCAAACAAAATGAACAGTATTCTTTCTTACAAGGCCTAAGGGCAATATAGGGATTCTTTTGTTTATTTAATTTTGGGGGTTCTAAATACTAATTAGCTCAGGAGGCAATGGAGGAAGTAGTATATCAATTCAATTCGGTCACTTCTGTCTTCACTCATTCCCTAGTACACAACAGTACGGAAACGAGACTGTTGGAGATCCCTTGCTGCGTCGGGGTGGCAGCTTCACAAACAGCTTCGCCCAGCTTCCGCACCCTACGTAGCCTAAACCTAAACCCTAAACCCTCAACCCTAAACCCTAAGCCCTCAACCCTAAACCCTAAACCTAAACCCTAAACCCTAAACCCTCACCCCGTACTCTTCCCAACCCCCCCCCCCCCCCCCCCCCCCCCCCCCCCCCCCCCCCCCCCCCCCCCCCCACTGCCCATGGCACAACCGTGCCGATGGAGTCGCTGGACCCACCGCCTGCGCCCGAGGCCGGGCTCGGCTCTCTTTTCTTTTAGGGTTTAGGGTTTAGGGTTTAGGGTTTAGGGTTTAGGGTTTAGGGTTTAGGGTTTAGGGTTTGGGGTTTGGGGTTTGGGGTTTGGGGTTTGGGGTTTGGGGTTTAGGGTGGAGGGTCCCTTACAATGCCTTTAAAACAAAAAGAGCACACTTTTTATACCTGGGTTACTCTTGGGGCTAGGGCTCTCCATGGCAAGCTAGGAAGGGTATAATCGTTTATAGCCCTAAACCCTAAACCCCAAACCCTAAACCCTAAATAGGATTCAGGGCTTAAAGCAAGAACCCAAGACTAGTCTTCCGTGTTTAGGATCTAGGGTCGTAAACCGCCCTGGCCCAATGCATCAAGCCCCTTGCAGCCCGAACCCTAACCCCAAAAAACCGAAAACCCGAAGCCCTGAAGCCCCGAACCCCAAAAGCCCCACGGCCCAAGCACAAGATACCTCGAACCGCGATCAGCCTCGACCGAAGTTGCACTCGGGGATGTACATTCTTCAGCCTCTTAGGGAGGCTGGTATGATGCGGCACCGCAACGAGGGCCCATCTTAGAGCTCGGGTTTAGGGTTTAGGGTTTAGGGTTCAATGCCCGAAACCCTAAGCCCCTAAACTCCGACGCCCTATCGCCTCAACCGGCGGGTCAGGAGGACACCCCTGCCGGATCCGAGCTGTCAGAGCCGCCAGCCGCCCCCGAGGCGCGGCTTGCGGAGACCCCAACAAATGCCGGATTGAACTCAGGACCTAGGGCCTCGACTGCTGTTTGGAAATCAAACAACCCAGTAGTAGAGTAGGTAACCTTTAACCTTTTTGGGGTAGTATAATAATCCCTGTACAATCCCAAAGGTTAACCTTGCTTAGATAAAGGACAGCATTGCCATGTATGATACTTTTTCCAAGGCTAGCTGGTTATAGCTTAACTGTTCGCAGGGTCCTTTGTGTGCAGACCGCCCAAACCCACGGGCGCTGACTGGCAGCAGGTACATCCCCCCAAAACCCAACCTGCCTCCTAATTCACTCCTGAGAATCAGCAAGTACACCGTGTAATGCCAAAGACTGTGCTAAACCCTAAGCCCTAAACTTCCTAAACCCTAAACTTCCTAAACCCTAAACTTCTTAAACCCTAAACTTCCTAAACCCTAAACTTCCTAAACCCTAAACACCACACCGCCGAATGCCTCCCGTCAGGAGCTGGAGCCCGCCTCAGAGCCGGCCACCGCCAGGTCACGGGCCATACGAGCGCTTCGGAACTCTAAACTTTAGGGTTTAGGATTTAGGGTTTCGGGTATAGGATTTATGGGGTTTAGGGTTTAGGGTTTAGGGTTTAGGGTTTAGGGTTTAGGGTTTAGGGTTTAGGGTTTAGGGTTTAGGGTTTAGGGTTTAGGGTTTAGGGTTTAGGGTTTAGGGTTTAGGGTTTAGGGTTTAGGGGTCGGGTGGAGCACCAGCATGTGCTTAACGGCAGGGCGACAGGCTCCGGTGCCCTTGGCACGATGTTCTCCCTGGGACACCCCTAAACATCGAAAAACTTTAAGCAGCCACTGAAGCCCTAAACACTGAGCCTTAGTGAAAAAGTGAGAATAAGCCCTACAAGCCTATAAGCCTTAAACTTAACCCTGAACCCGAAAAACAAACCAAAACCCTGAACACTAAAAACAACCCAAAACGCCGTAAGCCCTAAACCCTGAACCCTAAAAACTCCCTAAACCCCAACAGCCCTAAACCCTAAACCCTAAACCCTAAACCCTAAACCCTAAACCCTAAACCCTAAACCCTAAACCCTAAACCCTAAACCCTAAACCCTAAACCCTAAACCCTAAACCCTAAACCCTTCCCCCTCAAGAGCGTGCTCTGCCGGGCCAGACGCTCCTGGCCAGCCGAAGTGGCCCAGCGAGCCGCCCTGCGCCGCGCCCAGTTGCCGAAGCCCTCGCCGGGGTTTCAGGTTTAGGGTTTAGGGTTTAGGATTTAGGGCTTAGGGTTTAGGGCTTAGGGCTTAGGGTTTAGGGCTTAGGGTTTAGGGCTTAGGGTTTAGGGTTTAAGGTTTCCGGGGGTGACAGGGTTTAACTTTTTAGGGTTTAGGGTTTTTTGGGGGTCAGGAGGTTTAGGGATTTTCAGGGTTCAGGGGGTTTAGAGGGTTTAGGGGGGTTTGGAGGGTTTGGAGGGTTTAGGATCGCGGGTTCTGGGACGCCAGGTGCTGAAGTCCATAGAAGCCTTCGAAGCCCTGCAAGACCTGGAGCCCACGGAGACCTCTGAATCCTACATGGGCAGGTCAAAATGAACGTCCCTTTTTGGACACCCTACATATTAGGTGCCGAAGTATATGAGGGACCCCAAAAGGGACTATGGACCCCAAAATCCTTGCTAGCCCATTGGTGCTCTTTCCCCTTTCGTGTTGGTTCAAGGTTCCCATTTTCAAGTAACCATCCCCGAAAAGGGAGCCCTCATGATATTATGGCAACTTGGCTAACAAGTAGAATGTAGGTTCCCTTGTAAAGTACCCAACACCCTAAACCCTCAACCCTAAACCCTAAACCCATAAGTGGTTACTGGGCTAGCAAGGATCCCTCTCCTGGGTTTTGGAGTACTATACTTTAATACTTTTTGTTGGTTCTGGCGTCCCATTAGAGCTACGTCTACCTAAAAGTTATAACATTTTTCCAGGGTCTACTCCAAAACACCCGAAACCCTAAACCCTAAAACCCGAAACCCCAAACCCCAAACCCCAAAACCATAACCAAGGATCCCTATCATACCCTGAGGGTTCACCCCGCATGACCAGGCTCGACTCGCCCATGTCGCCACTCCAGGCTGCACAGGCCTCCCTGGGCCTCGGCCATAAACCCTAAGCCCTAACCCCAACCCCCAAACCCCAAACCCCAAACCCGAAACCCGAAACCCGAAACCCGAAACCCTAACCCTAAACCCTGTAGGGTTTAGGGCGTAGGGTTGCGCAAGCCTAGGGCCTCAGCGGTTGGTGGGTGGCTTCCGACATTGGGGGGGGGATGCGAGTTTATACATTTGTTGGTATGTCCCCCCTTCCACGTACTAACAGTCCGTAGTAGGGATTATAATCGGGGGTACTCCCCATTAAGGACTTTCAGAATAAGGGGGAGGGGAACATCCCAATGTATATACAAATGGACGAGCAGGTGCGAGTGTGTGTAATTACCCCCGAAGCTCCTTGGTTGGAGATCCTTCTGTGTTTTGGTTCTCCCCCATCCCCCCAAAATGTGGACCCTAAACTCTACCCTAAACCCTAAACCCCAAACCCCAATCCCTAAACCCTAAAGCCTAGCTCTAAATCCTAAACCCCTGAACCCTGAACCCTGAACCCTGAACCCTGAACCCTAAACCCTAAACCCTAAACCCTAAACCCTAAACCCTAAACCCTAAACCCTAAACCCTAAACCCTAAACCCTAAACCCTAAACCCTACCACATGCGAAGTCCGCCAAGTGGGAGCAGACCGCTGGGCTGCTGCGGGATGCGCTGCATGTGGCTCTGCTGACTTCCGCATGGAGATCTTGGGACGTTTTTGTACATTTTAGGGTTTAGGGTTTAGGGTTTGGGGTTTGGGGTTTAGGGTTTAGGGTTTAGGGTTTAGGGTTTAGTGCCTAAACCCTAAACCCCAATCCCTAAACCCTAAACCTTTAGGGGCTATGGGGCTACAGGTCCTGGGGTGTGGCCAGCCGTCTGGGGTCTATTGATCCGCTGGTCTGCGTTCTGGGCCCAGCTGATCTGCCCCCAGTTAGTTCGTGTATAGGGTTTAGGGTTTAGGGCTTAGAGCTTAGGGCTTAGGGCTTGGGGCTTCGGGCTTAGGGCTTAGGTCTTAGGGCTTAGGGCTTAGAGCTTTATGGGCACAAGAGGGGCCCACCCCGCGTTGTGGGGCTACATGGCATGATCACAGCGGAGCCTGCGGCCCTTTGAAAAGACGCACCCCTCAAAACGACGACACGCAGAGGCCCAAAGAACTCGACCCGAAACCCGAGATTAGACTGAGTCTTCTCAACCCTGAGAAACCTCAACCCTATAGCCCCTAAATCCTAAACCTTGAGACAACCTGAATAGCCCAAACTTCTGAGCTTCTAAGCCCTAAGCACTTCAACTCTATTCCAAACCCAAAACTCTAAACGCTAAAGCTTAAACCCCAAACCCTAAACCCTAAACAATCTCAGCATTTAAACCCTAAACCCTGAAACCTAAGGCACAGGCTGCGGCCCAAGCGCAAGCACTCCAGGCCTTGAACTGCTTTCTAGGGTTTAGGGTTTAGGGTTTAGGGTTTAGGGTTTAGGGTTTAGGGTTTAGGGTTTAGGGTTTAGGGTTTAGGGTTTAGGGTTAGGGGCGTAGGGCTTCTAGGGCGTGAAGGGTTTGAAGTGTTCTTAGGACTATGTATTACGGCGGGTGCATCTTCTGAGGGGGAAAAAACACGTCGACAGCAACTGAGAGAACCAAACAGATAGTGCTTGCAGGAGCAGCAAGATTCCTACTTTGCCAGCCGGCGGCAGTTGCAGAGGGACATGGAGGCTCTAGGGCTCTAACTTGGCAGCGCATGAGTTTGTGGTCCAGGGGGTCGAAAGCCCCCTGAGGATTTATTTCGAGACAAAACCCAAGGGTATTAATCACTTTAAAGTGCTGTTTTACCCAGCTTCCGCGCCACGTCCATGCTTGTTGGTTTGGCTTGGATTGCACGTTTTCGTCGGTTGGCATTGTTGTCTGTGGTTGCTCCCTAAACCCTAAACCCTAAACCCTAAATCTTCCCCTTCCCGGGATGAGGGTTTACAAGCAAGCTGACGACTCGAAGAGATCTTGGTTTTGGGTTTCCTACAAGTATGCAGGGTTTAGGGTTTAGGGTTTAGGAAGACAGGGGCACCCGATTTGGCTTAAGATAAGGAACCTAAACCCTAGAAAAGTGAATAGGGGCCTAAGAAGATCATAGGGGATAACACGGGGCAATCTGCTCTACAGGCAAATTGGAGGAACGAGTATTCTGAGCAGCGAACACATCTTCCTCGGGCAGGATGGTGGGTTCCCCCTCAACCCTAAACCGCAAACCGAGAAGCAACTGGTAGGGAGCCAGTTCTCTAGAAGGCATGTTCCCCCTTATACGAACAGTCCTGAATAGGGATGAAAGTACCCCTTCTTCGAATCCCGATTGAGGACTGTTTCGGGTTTAGGGTGTAAGGTATAGTAGGTTTCCTATGCTTTACACCCGCAGCCGTAGAAACTTAAGCTGCCAGAAGAGCTCGCTGCCCTGACAGCCTCGTTTAAGCCCGAATACGCCCTTTAATCCCTAAAGCCTGTGGATCATGCACTGGCATTCCCCCCCCCTCTCCCCCCTCAAGCCCCTGTAACTTCAAATTGCAGAGAAGTTGACAAGAAACTTCCCTCATACCTCCCCGAAACTTCCCCGGACCTTAACCCTTAATGATTTCAATAGGAAACCCTTAGGGAAGCCCTAAACCCAAAGCCCAAAACCCTAAACCCTAAACCCTAAACCCTAAACCCTAAACCCTAAACCCTAAACCTGTTTCCCCATCGCCAGGTCCAGCGGATGGAGCAGACAAAGGCCTTGAAGGAGCGCCACGGTTTAGGGTTTAGGGTTTAGGGTTTAGGGTTTAGGGTTTAGGGTTTAGGGTTTAGGGTTTAGGGTTTAGAAAAACCGCTTGTCTTGGAGGTTGACAGGTCTGTTGGAGTTTCAGCCTTCAGGGCAGCTATAAGAAGTATGCGTAGTCTAAAGTAGGCTATAATAGTAGACACAGATATCTATATATATATATATGTGTATATATATAATCGTATATACACATTCTACAGATATGTTTTTTCTGCAGTATCGCGCGCTTGCTGTGCCGTGAACATCTCGTTCTTCTCGCTTCAGCATTTTCTGCGGAGGCGTTAGTATATTTCAGGGTGAAGAGACCTGGTCAAGTGGACTAAAGGCGGGACCCTTACAAGGGACCTGAATGGTTGTATAAGGGTTGTTGAGGGGCTACTGAAATATATAGGGGCTACAAAAGGTATATGTAGGGGTTACATAGGGGTATAAGATTAAGGGTCCCTCCTAGGGAGTCCTCCTTCGGAGCCCTCCTTTTACCCCTTAAGTTGGGGGCTTTTGGGGGGGCTTTACCTAGCGGGTAAATGCCGCCAAGACTGTGGTTGGGCGAAGGGGTGCTTTGACGTGATGGGCATGGGTCCTTAGGGCTTGCAAGGGCTTAGGGCTTGTAAGGGCTTGGGGCTTGCAAGGGCTTGGGACTTTCCTGGGCTTCGGGCTTCTAGGGCTTAGGGCTTATAAGGGCTTAGAGCTTATAAGACTTAGGGCTCAGGCCTGAGGGCTTGGGCTTACGAGCTTACAGTTGTCTAAGCTTAGCCCTTCCAAGCCTTTCTCTCAGGCGCAGCAAGACCTCCACCTCGCGAAGGTGAAGGAGCTCGAGAATGCGCTGCAGGCAGGGACCCTGCTGGCGCGCGCGTGCGCGCGCGCTCTGTCTGTCTGTCTGTCTGTCTGTCTGTCTGTCTGTCTGTCTGTCTGTCTGTGAGTGAGTGAGTGAGTGAGTGAGTGAGTGAGTGGCGTAGGTACATACATTTTGGTATATATATATATATAGATGTATATATATACACAGAACAAATAGATGCATAAGTAAATGGGTTTAAAAAAAGAAATATATATATATATATATATATATAGATGCTATATATAGATTCTATGCGAACCAAATAGCAGGTCTCAGTAGAAAAAGGGGCCTAAGGCTTCCCAAAGATCCCAAAAGAGCACGGGAGGCGAAGGAGAACTTCATCCGGCAGCTCCAGGCTTCTGGAGGGAGTTAGGGTTTAGGGTTTAGGGTTTAGGGTTTGTATGGGGGTTTGGGGCTTCCAGGGCCGTATTCTAGGATTTCTTCGTGACCTCAAGCCGTCAAGCCCGACTCTAGCCTCAACCCCCAACAACTCCGAAGATCCCATCACGAACCCCCGAAACCCCCCCCCCCCCCCCCCCCCAAACCCCCAAACCCCCTAGACTCTACAGCCTGAAGAGCCCAAAATCCCAGCCCCCCCCCCCCCCAACCCTAAACCCTAAACCCTAAAAGACTTTGCAGAATTGCCCTTTGCAGGGAAGTCACAGCGACTCAGCCCAGGCCCGGGCGCAGTGAATCCCAACAACAATGCCGAAGAGCGTTAGCCATCCCTATTGCATATGTGTATAGAGAGAGAGAGAGATCTACATATATATATATACATATACACAGTGTGTGTGTGTACACACATATATGTATATATACTGTATATAATATACACATATTTGTGTGTTTGTGAGTTTGTATGTGTATCACAACTTGTTATCCGTGTCTTAATTTGCAGAGAATACACACACATGCACGCCTATCCTCGTATCTCTACACACATGCACACCTATCCTCGTATCTCTACATGCCTCCCAGTGCCTAAGAGAGTGAAAATGAGTAGCGGCACTCAGATAACACCTGTCTGAAGCACAAGTGGGGCAACTAGGGCTTTACGGTTTTGGGACATCGCAAGGTCAGGGAAGCCAAACGCCTTGGGATCCCGTGCTGTGGCCAGGCGATGGAGAAGGCTCACCAGAAAGGCCTGCAGGACGGCAATGTCTCGGCTCGAGTCAGAAACAGCAACTCTGTGTACGTATACTCTTTCCGGCTTGGGCTATGCGCATGGGTATTTCCCCTTTAAGGGCCCCCCCGCCCCCCCCAAAAAAGGGTACCCCATTTTCGGAAACCTCCGCATTCTCCTGATTTGAAGCTAAACTCGCATTCTCGGACTCGTAGTCGGCACCCATCTCAAGATAGTGATATGGAGAACACAATGCTCCAGAAATCCGAAAGCCTCAAGCACCTTTAAGCCCCTGAAGCCCGTTTCCTTCAGAGACCCAAGCAGCAGAGGAACAGAAGGCGTACTTCGAGAAGTTGCTGCAGGAGCGCGGTTTAGGGCTCAGGGTTCAGGATTGATTTAGGGTTTAGGGTTTAGGGTTTAGGGTTTAAGTCTTTCTTTTGCGGGCCTTGGCGGGGGGGGCGTGTCAGGGCAGCGGACAGACCAGAGTAAAGCGTCTGTTTGGTGCAACCTCTTGCTCAATCCTAGTGTTGGGATGCACTTAGAATGTCAAGCTTAGGTACTTGACCTTTCCCTAAACCCTAAACCCTAAACCCTAAACCCTAAACCCTAAACCGTGGCACTGCCCTGTTGGCTTGAGACTTCTATAGGGTGTAGGGCCTGAATGGGCTCATCGTGCTACTCGGACGTGCACATTCCGCTGGAGTCGTTGAGAGGATCCTGCAGAGCCTAGGTGGTGCCTTACCTCGGCGGGATCCCTTATACTGGGTTCTGAAGTAGGTTTAGGGCTTAGGGTTTAGGGTTTAGGGTCGTCAGCGACGGGCTCTTCGTGTTCAACAGTGGCATTCCAAATGGAACCCCCATGGGCACGCTTATACTCAGCGCTACCAGTGCCGGGAGCAGACTCAGCAGCAGGTCCAGATGTCACACTGGCAGCGAGGAGTAGGGCCCTTGGGTGGCATAGGGTATACAAAAGGGGTATATAAGGGGTCCCCTATTGTGGGCCCAGCTTAGGGACCATGTACATAGCCTAAGGTAGCTGAACGCTCTGCCCTTTCTGCGCTGCTGCTGGAGAAGTACCCTAAACCCCCTAAGCCCCAAACCCTAAACCCTAAACTGAGCCAAATTGAACTCAAAGATGCCGAGTCCCAGTGTTGAAGCTGAACCCGAAAACCTGACCCACCGCCAAGCCCACGCTGCAACCCTTGAACCCTGAACCCCAGAGCCACCAGCCCCCCGAAACCCTAAACCCCCTAAGCCCCCTAAACCCTAAACCAAATTCTAAACCCTAAACCCCAAACCCCAAACCCCCTAAAACCCTAAACCCCCTAATTCCTCTACACCCTCTAAACCCTAAGCCCTAAAACCTGCAAACCCTAAACCTGGATGAAAAGCATCAGGAGAAGGGCGAGACGCAGCGGACGATGCAGGCCAGGGCTCTGCGTCAGATCTTCAGGGGTGCGTTTGGAATCAGCTGAGGGCATGGGTTTAGGGTTCAGGGTTTAGGGTTTAGGGCCTTTAGGGTTTAGGGTTTGGGGTTTGGGGTTTAGGGTTTAGGGTTTAGCTGATGATGAGGGGCTTGGGTTGGCTTTCCTCAACCCCGTCAGAGCTCCACGAAGCACGGCTTTGAAGCCCGCTGTCATCCTGTACCTTACACCCCAACCCCCTGAACACCCTGAATCCTAAAACCCACAACCCTCAACCCTAAACCCTAAACCCTAACCCTAAACCCTAACCCTAGACCCTCAACCCTAAAACCCTGAGATGACACAAATGTTTTGGAGTGCACACTGGCGGAGGCCAGCGCCGGCAGCGAATCCTCCAAGGCAGTTTGGGGCATCTCTTATTGAGGTCCCTAACCCCTACTGGGGGGGGGGTTTATCTCACATCGCGTGGTGTAAATACACATCGTTCGGCGTCCACACTGGGGTCTTGCAGGTCCCGCACAGGACCCGGCACTGATCCTAGCCGTCCAGTTTTCAGCCTATGCAGCGTCCACAATGGGGTCTGGCATGCAAACCACCCCATGCCCATGGTCGGAGGAAGCGCCTGCGTCAAATCTCCACATTGGGTTTGCATTTTGGACAAGACTCACTGATCCAAGCTGCCACCACGGCTTCAAGTTTGTTTAAGGCAGTTGGCAGGACGTTTCCGTGCCAGCTGGTCTAATGCACTTTTTTCTATATCAAAACCGGTCTCGGTCGGAGGGTTTGGTCCGCCAGACACATGCAGCAGGCAGCAGGCAGGCAGTGTGCACTTGAGCAGCTGCGGGTCTCAGGTGTGTAAGGCCAGTAAAGGCTTCGAAGATCAACGTTCCGTATGTTGATACAAACCGAGCGTCTCCTTCGGGATTTGCTGCCAAAACGTATGCCAGATTGATGTAAAAATTGCCCGAAACATAAGCGTCCGCGAGGTTGGGTGGATTTTGAGGTCTCCGTGGCTGACAGCCAAAAATAGCGTCCACATTGGGGTTTCGTATCTTGTGACGTGTATTCTCTCGCGTGATGGGTAATTCTTTGCATGAGCGTCCACATTGGGGTGATGTGTATTTTCACGGCCTGATGTGTGATAACCCCCTCCCTTGTATGAGCTCTAAACTTAAACCCTAAACCCCCTCCAGGTTGAGGCTTTGAGAATTAGGGTTTAAAGTGTAGGGTGTAGGGTGTAGGGTTACAACCGATCAGTTTGGGGTTGAAGAGCTTTAGCTCGAAGGGCTTAGGGTTTAGCAGGTCTGTATTCCGCTAAGCTTTGGAGCCCTACGCCCTCAACCCCCTAAACCTCAAGCCTTAACCCCTAAATCCTAAACCCCCATTGACAGAAGCCGCAGAGTCTCATCTTACAAATGGTCTCTTTTGAATTGCGTTTGCTTCTGCTTATGAAGTCCATTATTTTTCTCAGGGTTCTAAGGGTCCTTAGGATTCTAAGGAAACTGCACGTGCATGGCATACTATATGTTTGCATAAAATCCAGGTTGCTGAGAGCTGACAGACTTTTGGCAGTTTGTGTGATGTAAGCATGTTGCCCCGAACTCCTAAACCCTAAACCCGAAATCCTGAACCGTAAGCCCTAAATCCTAAACCCTAAACCGGAGGAGGATCCTGGCATACCGTCGCTGCCACCAGCATCTTCGCCCGGGGAGGTGAGGATGGATTAGTAGCCTTCCAACAGCCAATCCTTTAAAAGCATTGGAAGGCCTCAAAAAATCACCTGTCAGGGCTTGGTGGCAAGGTTGGTTGGGGCCTTGGGCTTAGATTCGGGTACTTGCGCGCGGCCGCTCCGTAGCGGCACCTCATCACCACTGACTTCTGAGTGATTTCAGGCGCCGTTACTTTGTAACAGAGCACCCGACCCCACCGTAGGCTTCCAGAAGCAGGCTCCAACTTCAGTCCTGTGAGTGAACCGCAACCCTCCATCGTACCTCTAGCTTGTTATACTTCGGCCTTCATGCATCTCCGATATGGGGACTTTTGGGCCCAAGTCTATCATGATATGGTACATGGACCATTTAGGGTAACTTACGAAGCGTATACTTCTTGACATGTCTAGAGGCGTGACAGCTGAATCCCTGTCGGGCCTCTACCGCCCCCCAGGCCACGCAGCCAGTCCTCCAGCAACCGGAAGCAGCTTCGATGCACCATCGGCATAGGATCCTGTTATTGGGGGGTTTCCGAAGTAAGGGGTACCTTATTGGGGTCCCTTTTATAGGGGAATCCTACTACTTGCAGGTCTATTTTCGGAAACCCGCCTTTCAGATTCTCACAGTTTTTTGAAGGCCCAACCACGCCTAGCCTCAGAAAGGCCCCGCGCCAGGCCACCCCTTGAGGTCAGTTTTTGTAGACACAGAAATCCATACAAACGCCTCAGACTCTGTAGTCTCTGAAATCCTCATCATCAGCCCGACCCCTGTAAATCCTGCAATCCTTAGGTTTTCAAACCCAGTGGGGCCCTAAACCCTAAACCCTAAACCCTAAACCCTAAACCCTAAACCCTAAACCCTAAACCCTAAACCCTAAACCCTAAACCCTCAACCTTAAACATGCACTGAACGGCGCGCCATGACCGCGGCTTCCGGTTTCATCATCAAAGTGGAAACGGTGGAAGTAGATTCGATGCAAATTAGGAAGACGAACTAGCGGACAAAATGGACACATGGTATGAATTCTCAACCAACAGGTGGGTTAAATGTGAGTATAGTAACAGCAACAACAATCCGCTACAGTTCCTGCGTCTGTACGAAAAGTCAGGTAAGCTGGTGTCTAACATGACCATGTTGGGAAACATGCATGTGCTTGTGATCAGGGCTCTTCCATGTGGATGCCCATCCTTCGCACACCTCCACCCCCTACGCGCAATAGGTGCTCTTAGTGCTTTTCGGGGACTCCCGAGGCTCAGCCGCCTTCGCCAGAGGAGCCAGAGGCAAGCACTTAGGGTTTAGGGTTTAGGGTTTAGGGTTTAGGGTTTAGGGTTTAGGGTTGCACGTCAAGAACCCCAAAGCCTAAGCCTCCCCTAAAAAAATTCCAGAAAGCCTGAAGCCCTGCACCCTCGAGCCATACCACCCTAACCCCTGAACCCCAAACCCTGCAACCTGAACCTTGCAAAAAAATCTCCTCTGCTACGCAGCGGGTGCTGAGGGTTCAGGGTTTCATAAAGGGTGTCATGTTGAACCCGTACTCTGACCCACGCCCTTAAGACCCAGCAGTAGAGTAGGTAACCTTTGACCTTTTTGGGGTAGTACAATCCCCTTATAGTCCCAAAGGTTAACCTTTAATTCCCCCAGGTTCCTGGACAACTAAGAAGACCCCCAAACAGGAGAAGCTGCCGGAGAGCGCGAGGGCGGAGTCGGCGCCCCAGAACGCGGGGTTCTTGGCCCGGTTTGGTTGGGTTTGGGGTTTGGGGTTTGGGGTTTAGGGTTTAGGGTTCAGGGTTTAGGGTTAGGCATGAGAGCTTTGTGTCGCGCAACTTCGCAGTTTCCTGGGTGAGGGGAAGGTGGCGGCACGGCACAGCTCAGGATCGTCCCGCCTACGCCTGATGCCCCCAAGCAGGCCAGGGCGGAGCACGGTGAGAGCGAGATGGAGCCACCTGGATTGGCACATGAACGCTGGTGACACCCTTCTTAGAGTTTAGGGTGTTGGGTTTTGGGTTAGGGTTTAGGGTTTAGGGTTTAGGCTATTGAGGCCATTTGTAACACCCCATTCTAAACCCTAGAAGCGTAGACATGTGTCACCGGAATCCGCTCGATGCCTTCTAGGCGAGCCTACAGGCCTAACAGGAACGACAAACCCAGAGCCATGGAACAAGGTCTAGGGTTTAGGGTTTAGGGAATGTACAAGAAGTGGCAAACCCTGAGCCCGACAAAAGGGAGCTAGACGCCCCTTAAACCACACCAAAAGAGACCGGAGTCAGGGGTCATGGCCCAAGTTTGTTTTCCCCATGCTTTGTGCGGGGGGTGTTGTTTTAGGCTTCAACCGAGCTATTCTTCTTGCCCTGGCCTCCTCTACTTCTCCCATGTCCGCCAAAACCTGCCGAAAATTCTGCAGGTTGTGTCTGTATGGTTCTTTCTTTTGTTCCTCCCACTTTTCGTGGCCGGCGCGGTGCTTGCTGCTGAGGACGCACCTGTCCGTGGACTCGAAGTTCAGTCCCCATCGAGACCATGTGCTGCTCTTCGGACGCTTCACACCTCAGGAGCTGTTGAAGAAGACATGTGCAATCATGTGCCGTGGGATGTCTGTTTTTGCTATATTGTGTTACTGCCACTGGGGTGTGTATGTGCCGTTCCTTTCGGGGGATAGTAGAAATAGACAAACCCGCTTCATGTGGGTTGGAACCTCTGCTGGTTCGAATGAGTTGCCGGTAGGGAGCACATCTGTTCTGCGAGGACAAGGAGGAGTACTTCCGGGCCATTCGGGAGGAGCTCCAAGTCAAGAACGTGAAAACCCATGTGGTGGATGCCCACAGTGATTTTGGGCCAGAAGCTACACCCGATCTTGTTTCCGCAAGGGCCTTGGTGGCTTTCTGCACCTCGCAAATCGGAGACATGGCCACGAGCACTTCTGAGACGTCTGCACTCACGTACGCCTACGAGCATTCACATGAGTTGGACCTCATTCCGGTGCAGATGTGCGAAGTGTGGCCACCCGTCCTATCAGGTCAGGAAGGAGGAAATCTGTGCGACTTCGCCTTCGGGCCCAGCTGTATACGAGTCGAGGGCAGCTACCTCGATGAAGAAGGCAGCCGACACGACCTGAAACCGCAGCAGGTGGCCGAAAACCTCTACCGGCACATGCAAACCTTGGGGATATTGGAGGAGGTCTCCATGAGTTCAAAAGATCCTCGGAGCGCCATCAGTAGGAAAAGCTGTCTTGTGCAGGGATCACAGGTCTTGTGGGCTGCGCTGTTCAGGGATTGCAGGGCAAGGTTTCACAGAGCGCACAGTTTGGTCTCTTCTTTGGTGGGAGGGCTGCTCCCGGCCCTAATTAATCTAAACACCACACATCCCATCAGCCCTATTGACCTTATAAACCCAGCCTATGCCCTACGCCGTAAACCCTAAACCCTGTCGGTAAATCGCAACTCATCAGGAAACGCCGGACGGCCCAGACGGTTGAGGCGGCGGCGTTGTGTGGAGTCGTTGGCCACCCGCGGCTCCCTTGGAAATGATGTGGAGTTAGGGTCTACAGGGGTTTAGGGGTTTGGGGTTTATGGTTAGAGTTTAGGGCTAGGGTTACGGGTTAGGGTGTAGGGTTGGAGGTTTGAGGGCTTTAGGGGGGTTTAGAAGGGTTTCAGGCTTAAGAGTTTGTTTGTGAGGAGTTCAGCAGTTTAGAGTCAGGTTTTGGGGGGTTTGGCATTTCAGGTTTCAGGCGTTGAGGGTCCACATGTAGGGGCTCATGGCTTTAAATACCCTAAACCCTGAATTTTTAGGGCTTAGGGTTTAGGGTTTAGGGTTTAGGGTTCAGGGTTTAGGGTTTAGGGTTTAGGGTTTCGGAGGATCGAAGGCCCGACATGAAGTAGGGTTTTGGGGTCTGCGGTCTTCGGGGCAGTTTTCCAGGACCCTGTTCCGGAGACTCCCCCACGAATCTCGGGGTTTAGGGTTTAGGGTTTAGGGTTTAGGGGTTGGGGGTTTAGGGTTTAGGGTTTATTTAGGGTTTGGGGTTAAGGGTTTCGGGTTTAGGGGCCAGGGGTTTAGTGCTCTCTTCAAGTTCAGGGCCTGGGCCAAGTCTTGGGGGTGTAGGCTCATGAGTCCGCGAGCCGGGGTCCTTAGTGGCGTTTAAAAACCCTAAACCCTAAACCCTAAACCCTAAACCCTAAACCCTAAACCCTAAACCCTAAACCCTAAACCCTAAACCCTAAACCCTAAACCCTAGCCCCCCGAAGTACGCCAAAGCCCTGCGGTTGCTAGGTCAGCGCGGAGCAAAAGGAGAAGATCTTGAGGGCAGACGCCAGCTGTGGACTTCTGGACATTCCGCATCGAAAGCTACGCCTTGGAGAGCTTGCTGGGAGGGACGAGGGCTCGGATTGACTCAAGTGAGAATGGGCTGGCAGCGGAGGCCCCGAAACCCTAAACCCTAAACCCTAAACCCCAGCTGTGGGCATGTTGCAGGAGCCCCCAAGTGTGGAAAAAACACATCCTTGCGCGCGGCCTTTGCGCATCGCTGCTTTAACTCGAGCATGCATGATCAGGAGCGATGGCAATCGGAGCCTGATCCATCAGCATGTCTCGGCTGACGCCGCAAGGGCCGGCTCAAATCCTAAAGAAGTCAGCATCAGCCTTGTAGCGCTCGTCGTGGAACGATGTCTCCGCTCCTTTGTCTCTCCTTGCTATTGACATCTCTGGCTTTGGGAGGGGCAAATGAGGAGCTCAGCGATGGGTCTTGCGCCTTGTCCTTGCGAGCGGAGAGACAGAGCCCACCGATCCCACTTCAGTCTCTCCGCGGACCAAAAATCGAAGCCGCGGAAGGGTATCATCAAGTGGCACAAGTGCGCCGCTCAAAGGGCGATGATATGCCTTCCACGAAAGACTGCCGCTGGGTGCTCTTTGAGCAACCTCTGTCGCACTTTGACCCGACAAACGTCACGTTCCAACAGCGGGTTTGCATCTATGATGGCTACGTCGATGGAGATGGCGGACCAATCTTCTTCTACACCGGGAATGAGGCCGCAGTCGATCTGTATGTCAACAACACCGGGCTTATGTGGGAACTTGGGAAAGAGATGGGCGCGCTGCTCGTCTTTGCAGAGCACCGCTACTTTGGAGAGTCTTCCCCGACACTGACTGGAACGAGTGCCTGCTTGAAGTACCTGACCTTGGATGAGGCACTGGCGGACTTTGCCAAGGTTGCCTGGAATCTCACGCACGTCGCAACCGAAGATGGCAGCTATGTTGCGCCGACCTCCAAGATTGTGACTTTCGGGGGCTCCTATGGTGCGCGGCTCTCTGCTACAATGCGTCTCAAGTACCCGCACTTGATTTCGGGCGCAATCGCATCTTCCATGGTCGTCAACCAAATGGTCGACACACCCAAGGAAGAGTGGGGGAATTTTTGGAGCTGGGTTCGCAAAGGAATGGACTTGGTGCCACATTGCGGAGATGGCATGGTGGCAGCGACCCTTGTCCTGTGGGATGCTTACTCGAACTCAAAGGCCTCGCTCATTGCCCCTGCGCTGAATGCTGCCATGCCAGGGCTGTGCAGGCCTTTGGAGAAGGACACTGATATGTTCTACTTAAACGCTGCACTGCAATCAAGGCTGGAGACGCTAGCACAGTCTAGCTTTCCTTTTGAGTCCGACTACATGACTGTCGGAGGGTACATGGAAAATCCTATTGTGCTTCCTCCGTTCCCACTCCAAGCCATATGTGAGAAGTTCAACGAGGCGGCGGCAGGAGTCACCATCACGGGCGACATGGACCAACTCATCTACACAATGACGATGAATGGTCTGACGGTAGAGGCCGATTGGAGCGATACCAAAAGCAATTACTCGGCTGAGGAGTTCAGCAACAGTGGACTGCCTGAACTCATGGCGGCTATACTTGAGGCACAGATAAGCATGTGGGGTGAGGACCCATCAGCCGATTACTTGTGTCCAGAGTCGAAGAAGGCCAGCAAGGCCAGCGCTCCTTCATCCCTCAGCGAGTCAGCCAGCATGCAAGGGCCTGCGGATGTCTGCACAAAGGAGATTGAGGACGCAGAAGCCTGGCAAGTGCTGGTCGTCAATGACCTCAACTACGCCGTCTTTGCACCACCCACCGGCTTGATCTATGCAGCCCCACCTACTCTGGGCTGGGAGCGCGACTGGACTGTTCAGCAGCAGATTGCAGGGAAGGAAGCAAGCGCAGAGAGCCAAGTCCTGAAGTGGGCAACTGAGGAAGGGCTCCCAGGTGCGAGGCCGGGTAAGATTGACTTGCACGCCAACGACTTCAAGTTCAGTCTCAAGAGCATGGTTCGCGAGATGTCGAATGTCTTCTTCACGGTTGGGGAGCTGGACCCTTGGGGGGGCTCTGGCCTTACAAAAGACATGGCCCTACAGAATCCATCGAACAGGTTTGCTGAGATCAAGCGCGGGGGGCATCACGTCGACACCTTTTTCAGCACCGACCAGGACTATGAAGAGCTCCGTCAAGTCCGGGAAGATGAGAAACAGTTCATCAAGGACATCATCGACGGAAAGTGAGGCCGCGCATCTGATGTTCAGCATCCCGTTGCAAGAAGGTGGGGGAGTTAAAGCAAACTTCCTGAATTTAGTTCGTTGTGCAGTGACACCTGCTAGCAGCACCTGCACACGTTTCCTGAACGACATGCCGACGCAGCGGATACTTATTGTTCCCGTTATTTCTCGTCGGCTTGTCGAAGTAGTACGATTGGTTACAGTACTGTCTCCTTGACAAGCAAGGAAAATCCAGTGCGACATGCTTTGCACAGCTGATGGCCTCAAGCTGACCTGAATTGTGGAGTGGTGCTCGTTGATAAGTTTTGAGTTCACAATTGGTCCTAAAAATAGGTAGTAGCAGGTAATAGTGGCTTGTTGTGGCTTGTTATAGAGTATAATAGCACATCCTGGACCTTTTCGTAGTCCTGTAGAGCGCATCATTCGCAAGCGGGGTCGATGTCAAGGGTGTTTGTCAAAGCGGCCGGCCAGAGGTAGACTGCAAGCTGCCTAGGCCTTTGAGCATGTGCAGCTGGGCTTAATTGCTGCAACCTTGGCCCCTAAACCCCAAACCCCAACCCCAAACCCCAAAAACCCTGAACCCTAAACCCCAAACCCCAAAAACCCTGAACCCCAAACCCTAAACCCTAACTCAAGCACAAAATGCCCGCGGCTCCAGCCTTTGCAAGGGCTTTCCCCCACAAGTGCGCCCGCCATGGAGCAAGTAGCTCTCTCGGAGCCAGCGGCGTCTTGCGCGGATCTCCGTGCAGGGGAGGCCCCCGAAGCAGAGCCATGCAGCTGTAGGGTTGAGGGTTGAGGGTTCAGGGTTGAGGGTTTCGGGTTTAGTGTTTGGGGCTTAGGGTCTAGGGTTTAGGGTTGAGGAAATGGACCCTACAAAGGTTTATGGTCCACTGTGGAAGCATAGGGTACATGACCCGAATTTTGGGTTCATTTGGTCCCCATTGTAGCGACTCTAGTATCGCATACTTGGAAAATCCGAGCAGGTCTAGAAACACAGCACAGTATGCTTTTCACCTATGTAGGTTGGCAGTTTGCTGGCATGGTGCACCGCTGCACAAACCTGGAAGCCACGCCACGCCTTCTCCAACCCCGGAAATCCACAAGCCCCATCAGTAAGATGCCTCCTAAACCCTAGACCCTAAACCCTAAACCCTAAACCCTAAACCCTAAACCCTAAACCCTAAACCTAAACCCTAAACCCTCTTTCAGGGCAAAGTCGGGCACCAGGAAGATTTTGGGGCGCTGGAGCACTTGGAGCCCGCGAGCATCCCGAGGTTGGGTGGGACGACCTTGGGGACGAAATGTTTAGGGTTTAGGGTTTAGGGTTTAGGGTTTAGGGTTTAGGGCTTTTGCTCATCTACACACAGTTGTGCTTGAGGCTTGTCAAAGTCTAAGCTGAAGATAGAAGGTGCGTAGCGAGATGATTCACGTTAAGCAGCTAGTATCGAATGAGCACGGGACGTGCTGATAAGGTCTTCGGCCTAAAGTCTCTGGTCATATTTAGGAGCCTCCGGCTCAGGCCGCCGACACAAGAAGCCCGAAACCTCTCAACCCTCAAGCCAGGGTTCGGGGGTTTGAGGCCGTGTTGTGGGAATGGGGGGGTAGAGGCGTTGGCGTAAGGTTGCAACATAGGCAACCCCCCCGTGAAACCTCAACCCGAGTCCCAAAATCCCAAACCTCCAACCCTAAACCCCACACCCTATACCCAGAACCCTAATCCCTCAAGAACCCTCACTCCAGGTTTTGAGCCTCTGTGGGTCTAATGCCCTTGTCTTTAGGGTAGCCTTAGCGCTTTGGGTTCAACCTTTGGGGCATGTTTGGTTGGGCTGTAGGGTATAGGTTTGGGGTTTGGGGTTTAGGGTTTAGGAAACGACTATATCTGCTTTGGGGTGTCATGAGCCTCCTTAAAACTCGATTCCTTCCTGGGCGCACATTGTTATTCAAAAGCCGCGCCAAGAGGGCAACAACAGCAGGCCCGTCCTTTAGACCTACTGTTGGTTAGCAGGGTTTAGGGCTTAGGATTGAGGGTTTAGGATTTAATTTCGCCAGGGAGTGGGGGGGGAGGGGGGGGGGGGGGGAGTTAAGTCGAACGCGAGACACGAGTCCAGTCCTGGCTGACGTGGTCCTCCATGAAAAAATTGCCCCCCCCCCCCCCGAACGAGGGTTCCCTCCCGCAAAACCATCCAACACGCCGCCGGGGTTGGCGGACATGCATGAGCTCTAGTGGAAGAATCACTGAAGATTAGATCTTTGCTATTGGAGAATATTCTTACCAAATTCTCACTAAGGACCAGTGATTTCTGCACGCATCTCATACACCCAAGCTGATACAATGAGAAGATCTTCGGGTCATGTAAATGTTTCTTGTGCGAAAAAAGTGTTCGAGAGGTTAAGGGTTTGCCCCTTAAGTACCCCGCAAGACTAGAATCTTTATTACAAGAACCCCCAAAAAGTTACCCTGGTTTTGGGAAACCTCCCATTGCTGCGTTGAGTACCGACAAAGCCAGTACTTGAGAGGAGTTCCTTGGGACGACATGAAAAAGGTCAGACACCCTGGACTACTATAATCCCCATTTGGGGGTATGGAGCATAAAACCCTTTTAGGGTCCTTTGTCCCCCCCAGGTTGTGCTGAGAATCATGATGCTCTTGGGGTATCGTGAGGCTCAGCCTCCTATGTCGTTCAGCGTTTAGGGTTCATAGGGTTCATAGGGTTCAAAGGGTTCAAAGGGTTCAAAGGGTTCAAAGGGTTCGCAGAGCTTCGCAGGGTTCATAGGGCTCTTTGGGGTTCAGAGGGCCCTTTGGGGGTACATAGGGTTCATAGGGTACATGGGGTTTAGGGCTTGCCCTAAACCCCAAACCCCAAACCCTAAACCCCAAACCCTAAACCCTAAACCCTCAACCCTAAACACTCTCTAACCTATGTATATTTAAAAGCTAATGGATTCGCGGTTTTCCACCAAAATTTCCCGGACAAGCACCAAAAATTCCCGGACAAGCACCAAACATTCCCGGACAAGCACCAAAAATTCGCGGACAAGCACCAAAAATTCCCGGACAAGCACCAACACTTCCCGGACAAGCAAGAATTCACGGCCAACCACCAAAAATTCCCGGACAAGCACCAGAAATTCCCGGACAAGCACCAAAAATTCCCGGACAAAGCACCAACAATTCCCGGACAAAGCACCAACAATTTCCGGACAAGCACCAAAAATTCCCGGACAAGCACCAAAAATTCCCGGACAAGCACCAAAAATTCCCGGACAAGCACCAAAAATTCCCGGACAAGCACCAACAATTTCCGGACAAGCGCCAAAAATTCCCGGACAAACGCCAAAAATTCCCGGACAAACACCAAAAATTCCCGGACAAGCACCAAAAATTCCCGGACAAGCACCAAAAATTCCCGGACAAGCACCAAAAACTCCCGGACAAGCACCAAAAATTCCCGGACAAGCACCAAAAATTCCCGGACAAACGCCAAAAATTCCCGGACAAGCACCAAAATTCCCGGACAGGGACGTCCCGGGACAAGCTGTTGTCCCGGACAGCTTGTCCCGGAACGTTCCGGGGTGTCCCGGGGCCCCCCCGGGACAGGCCCGGGACAGTTGTCCCGGAGCCCCTGCGGGACGCCCCTGGGACAGTGTCCCGGGGCGCCCCCGGGACGCCAGATTAGACATCTTGGGCGCGTAGGCCGTCTTGTTTAAAAACGAGAAGTAAAATATTTTCATAATGTTATGGGATCCAATGGGTGGGTGGGTCGATATTCGATACCGGAGTAAGCAGCTCTACTAGTGAAATGCTTGGACTTGAGATGCTGAACGCTAAACCCTAAACCCTAAACCCTAAACCCTAAACCCTAAACCCTAAACCCTAAACCCTAAACCCTAAACCCTAAACCCTAAACCCTAAACCCTACCATGTAGGCTTTTAGGGTTACGGGGCGCGGGGGTTTTCCAGGACCGCCTCTGGCACCATCGAGCCCCTCTCGCCCCGCAGTTCCTGCAGTGATAGCACGCCTCTGAGCCTCCGCAACTGGGCTCCTTTGTTCCTCTTGAGGCTTATGGGGGTTTTATGGGGGTTGATAGGGGTTTAGGGCTTTTGTAGGGTTTGTAGGGTTTGTGGGGTTTGTGGGGTTTGTGGGGTTTGTAGGGTTTGTAGGGTTTGGGGTTTTTAGGGTTTAGGCTTCAGGGTTTACAGGGTTTACAGGGTTTGTTTGCAGGGTTCACAGGTTTTACAGGTTTTACAGGGTTTGCAGGGTTTACAGTGTTTAGGTTTAGGGTTGAGGGGTTAGGGTTTACAGGGCTGAGGGTTTGCTGAGGGCTACGTACCCCTCAGTTACCATACTAAGGGAAGGCTCCATCACCCTCGTTTGCCGCACTTTCCAAGGTACTTTCCAAGGGGATGAATACATCGTTATTTTCAGTGTTTCGCGCACATGGCATGCCTAAAACATCGGTATTTATGACACTTCGTGGCTTGGCTGCGTGCCAATGGCCAGAGCATCCATGCCCGCACGATGATAGCGTCCGTGTTACCAGAGCATGCATGTCTGCACGATGATCACGTCCGTGTTACCAGAGCATCCGTGTCCGCACGATGATAACGTCCGCGTTACCAGAGCATCCATGTCCGCACGATGACAGAGTCCGTGTTCCCAGAGCATCCATGTCCGCACGATGATCACGTCCGTGTTACCAGAGCATCCATGTCCGCACAATGATAACGTCACGTGGTACCGTTGCGTGCGAATGCCCAGAGCATCCATGTCCGCTTCTCTTGACGCCCTTCTCGCTGAGGCGGTCTTTGTTGGTCTTCCACTTCTTTGGTGCTTTTGGGTTTCGGGCTGGTCATGGGGGTAGGACTTCAACCTTTTAATACAGCCATCACCGTGCCGCTCTTTTCCGGATTTGGATGATGCGCGCGTCAACATGCGCGATCTTCCAGAGACATCCCCTAAACCCTAAACCCTAGACCCTAAACCCTAAACCCTAAATCACCTACGCGACTGATGTCCAAGACACTCTGCCGCCCTACCAAGCCTTCGTAGACACTGCGTGGCTGGGCATGCCGGAGCCCTGAGTCCGAAAAAATGGAAAAAAACTTTCCGCGGCAAAAAATACCGAGTTTTTGCTGTTCTTGTAAATACACAAAGTCACTTTGCGATTAGGATCCTTTTTTTACTCTTCCAATTCCTCACCCGCAACTTGCACAGGAAATGACCGTTCCTCAAAATGTGGCGAAAACCTAGGCGAGAGTACAATTTTGGCATCTTGTGCAGTGTCGCAACCTTCAATGCTCTTCTCTTCAAGCATTTCATGCCGCTCATGGCGTGGCAAACGAAGTACATGGTGCCGGAGGGAAGTATGGCAGATAACCTAGCATCCCTTCGGCAACTTAGCTTCAGTTCCGAGCCCTAAACCCTAAACCCTAGCCCTAAACCCTAAACCCCAAACCCTAAACCCTAGACGATACCGTCCCAGGCAACCTTGCCAACCTCGACTTCCCTGAGCAGGCGCAGAGCTTCTTGAGGCAAGATTCACCATGGTCTCAGCCACTTGCTTGGCCACTAGGGTTTAGGGTTTAGGGTTTAGGGTTTAGGGTTTAGGGTTTAGGGTTTAGGGTTAACATTTTGGGCTTCCTTATTCATAAGGGGGGACCTCCCAGCCTGTATACCTGAATCTTGCACCTGCTTTGGTGTGTGAAGCTGCTTTGCACCCTGTTTATAGGGCCCACGAGTTTTGCATGATTCAATCGGGAGAAGTTTAGATAAGTTGAAAAGGGGCAGCGATGCCCGGCCATTGATTTAAAGGCGCGCCGGGCGGAATTTTCTTACGACGCCCGGACGATTTGCCTTAATTGCGGGTCCCACTCTGCACTACCAAACGGGCTGTCCTGAATAGGACGGCCAATCTGACTTTATCGAGGGGGCCCCCACTAAAACAGGTAGAACATGAATAGGAACTTACCTAGCCAATAGTTGTACTTTGAACTTTTTGTGTTTCCGTATTTAGTAGCAATAGTAGAGTTTAACCCTGTTCTCCCCTTGGTTAATGGAGAGGTAACCCTAAACCCTAAACCCTAAACCCTAAACCCTAAACCCTAAACCCTAAACCCTTTGGTTATTGGAGAAGTATGAGGTCATCCGACGGCTCCGATGAGTGCGCTCCTTTCTCGAAGCGTGCTGCGAGAAGGTTGAAATCCAAGCTTATGAAGATCGAGGAGCCCTCCCCCTGAACCTAAACCCCGAAGCCCAAACCCTAAACCCTAAACCCCCAACCCCAAGCCCAAAACCTTAAGTCTGAGAAGCTTGACCAGTCCGTCGAGTTGGGCGACGTGGTTCAGGTCAGGGTCCCCGGGCACTTGCAGTAGTTTGCTGGCATGGTGCACCTGCACAAGAGAAGACCATGCCCAGAAACCCCCAGCCAAAGACAAAACCTAGAAGCCACACCTTCCCCACGCCCAGACAATCCACAAGGCCCTTAGGTAAGGTGCCTCCTAAGCCCTAAACCCCGAAACTTAAACCCTAAACCCTTAAACAATGGCTCTTTCAGGGCAAATTCGCCGCCCCAGGACGACCTTCCGCTGCTGGAGCATGAGCCTGCGATCATCCCGAGGTTTGGGTGAGAAGTCGGGTTTTGTGACGACCTGGGGACGAAACGGACCGCAGACGTATGGTTCCATACTACCGTTTTATAGGGGGTTAGAGTAGTATGGGGGTGTATGACCCCCGCTTTTGGGGCTCATCTCGTCCCCACGGGAGAGAAGCTGATGTAGTCGCAGTTTGCAGCTTGAGTTGTCGTAGACAAGCTTGAATTTTGCATGAGCCTTTGCGCATCTACACGCAATTGCGATTGGGCTTGTCGAAGTCTAAGCTGAAGATAGAAGGTGCGTAGCGAGATGATTCACGTTAAGCAGCTAGTATCCAATGAGCACGGGATGTGCTGAGAAGGTCTTCGACCTAAGGTCTCTGGTCATACATGAGCTCTAGTGGAAAAATCACTGAAGAAGAGATCTTTGCTATTGGAGATTTCCCACAAAGTTTTCAACTAAGGACCCATGATTTCTGTAAGGCATCTCACACAACCGGTGTTTGAGAGGTTAAGGGTTTGCTTCTCAAGTACCCCACACAACTAGAATTACAAGATCCCCAACTAGTTAGCCCTTCGCAAAACCTCCCAATCACAGCGTTGAGTACGGACATTGCCGGTACTTGAGAGAGGACTTGACGCAAAACCCGAAACCCGAAAAACCCAAAACCCGAACCCCTACAGCATAGGGACTTCCTCTTTTTTTTCCTTTTGTTTTTTTTGTTGGGGGGGGGGGGGGGAATTTTGGGAATTTGCCAGGACCGCCTCCGGCAGCCTGGAACCCACGCCTTGCTCGCCCAGCCTCTCGCCCCGGAGTTCCTGCAGTGATGGCATGCCTCTGACTCTCCGCAGCTGGGCCTCGGTTTTTGTTGGTTCCTTTCGGGTTTATATAGGAGGTTTTTAGAGGGGTTTCATGATAGGGTTTGTGTAGGGTTTATATGGGGTTTAGATGGGGTTTATGTAGGGTTTATATAGGGTTTATATAGGGTTTATATAGGGCTTATATAGGGCTTATATAGGGTTTATATAGGGTTTATGTAGGGGTTATAGGGTTTATAGGGCTTGGGGTTTACATGGTTTAGGGTGGAGGGGTTGCAGGCTTTAGGGTTTACAGGGTTTATAGGGTTTAGGGTACGAATGGTGTTGCCGTACGAAGGGCTACGTAGACTTCAGCTACCACACTCAGGGAAATGTGGTAGATAACCTGGCATCCTTGTGGGAACATAGCTTCAGTGCCTAGCCCTAAACCCTAAACCCTAAACTCTAAACCCTAAACCCTAAACCCTAGACGATACTGTCTCAGGCAACCTTGCCAGCCTGGACCTCCCGGAGCAGGCGCAGAGCTTCTCGAGGCAAGCTTCACCATGGTCTCAGCCACTTGGCTTGGCCACTAGGGTTTAGGGTTTAGGGTTTAGGGTTTAGGGTTTAGGGTGCACTTGGCTTGCCAAATACCTTGGGGGCGGAATGAACCCCAAAAGGGTTTGGGGTTTAGGGATTTAGAGTTTTACGTTTGTAGGGTTTTGGGGTTTTAGGGCTTTAGGGTTTTAGGGGTTTTGTGGTTTTTGGGGTTTCGGGGTTTTGCGGTTTTAGGGGTTTGGGGTTTAGGGTTTTAGGGTTTTAGGGTTTTAGGGTTTTAGGTTTTTAGGGCGAGCTGAGGAGCATTTTCCTGGGTGACGACATGAATCCTAAAAGGGTTTAGGGTTTAGGGTTCATATACCTTAATAGGAATTACAGTAGTATAGGGCATATTAGGCACCAGCTTTCATTTGCTCCCCAAGGATAGTTGAACTTTAATCTTCTTGGGTTTCCTTCGTAGGAAAATGGAGTTTAACCCCAAAACCCTAAACCGTAAACCCTAAACCCTAAACCCTAAACCCTTTGGTTACTGGAGAAGTATGAGGTCATCCGACGGCTCCGATGACGCTCCTGTCTCGAGGCGTGCTTCGAGAAGGTTGAAATCCCAGCTTGTGAAGATTGAGGAGCCCTGGCCCCTAAACTTAAACCCCAACACCCCAACACCCCAAAAACCCCAAAACCCCAAAAACCCCAAAACCCCAAAACCCCAAAGCCCCAAAACCCCAAAACCCCAAACCCTAAGCCAGAAACCGCAAACCGCAAACCCTCTGCTGGAGGAGTCTGAGAAGAGTGACCTGTCCATCGAGTTGGGCGACGTGGTTCAGGTCAAGGTCCCCGGGCACTTGCAGCACGTTCTCCACGATGAGTGCTCCCTTCCCAAAGACAAGGCGCCTAAGGGTTTGGGGGTTTACCCTAAACCCTAAACCCAAACAACCTCAACCCTTGCCTTCTTAACCAGGAGCCCAAGAAGATGTTCGAGAGCTCTTGGAACCTGGGGGGCGAGCAGCTCCTGGCCGACGGACAACCTGATCGCGAGATGCACCAGGAGCACCTTCAGAATCTGAATCTTGGACTGCTACCGGCTTAAGAACCCTGGGTTTAGGGGTTTAGGGGTTTAGGGGTTTAGGGTTTAGGGTTTAGGGTTTAGGGATGTCATAGTTGGGTACCATTCTACATTTTTAAGGGTACTCAACCCTTATAAGGAAGAACACATTTTTTTATCCCAACCATGAACTAGGAATCATGGACTACCAGTTTGCTTAAGAACCCAAAACAACACAGCAGACTCTTCCTTGTACGTGTCATATAGGGATTGTTTTGGCACATTCAGAATCTGAATCATGGACTGCCATTTGCTTATCTTGGCAGCCCGGGGGTACCCTTTACCCTGTTTTTTTTGGCTTTGGGTTCCCTAAGAAAGTAAGCAACCAAGAAAGGGTGCCCTCATTATCATGGCTGCTGGGCTACCAAGTTAAGAGCCCAAAAAAAGCGCAGGAGACTCTTCCTTACAAGGGTAGTATAGGAAACCCTAAACCCTAAACCCTAAACCCTAAACCCTAAACCCTAAACCCTAAACCCTAGGGATTCTCGTTTTCTTTTTGGTTTTAGTGGGGGGGGGTTCTTAATGACCACACTTCAGACTCTGAGCCAGGGAGGGATGGACAAAGCTTCGGGAGTTGTAGGGTTTGGGGCACTGAAAGGGTGTGAAAAGTTAGGGATTTTAGAGGGCTTAGGGTTTCTAGGGTTTGCAATCTAGGGATTTAGGGTTTAGGGCTTTTTTTTTTTTTTTTGGGGGGGGGCGGGGGGGGGGGTGGGGGGGGGGGGGGTTGGGAGACCTGGCCTGCAATCCGAAGAAGCAGGCAAGGCTTGAAGTGTCTGAGTTGCTGTGGGGCCTTTAAGAGTCCGTCGAGATGCCTCTCAGCTCTGGGTTTAAATGCTAAGCCCTAAACCCTAAACCCTAAACCCTAAACCCTAAACCCTAAACCCTAAACCGTGGCTTTCGGGCTGAGGGTCTTGAATTCTAGGGCTTCGGGCCAGCATGCCGGAAAGCCAAGGACATGCTTCCTCCAGGAACCACAGCAACTGACAGCCTCCTTGACCCGGAAATCGAGGGAGACCGAGGATCGGCGCAAGCAAGAGTGGGCGGATTTTTGTCAGAATCTGGTAGGCAAGATGTTGCTCGTCCTTCTTGCCTGCACTCTTCTTCGGAGTATCTTGGAGGTGGTGCTCTGAATCTGAGCTTTCGGGAGATCGGCGGGGGGACTTTTGAAATCCCAAGCTCGGCTTTCTGCTGGCCGCGAGAGGCGACCTCGCTCCTTATTCGGTGTCACGATGTGTCTTCAGGTGCTCTCTTGAGGTCAGGGTTTAGGGGGGTTTAGGGTTTAGGGTTTAGGGTTTCGGGTTTAGGGTTTAGGGTTTAGGGTTCAGGGTAAGGTTTCGGGTTGCTCCTTTGTTACTTTATTCTGCTTAGGGGTTTAGGGTTGTGATTGCAGCTTCCCAGCAAGACTGACCAAGATGAGTGCAGTGACGCCCCGGGTTTTGTCAGATGTTTTCCGCAACCTTGAGCACTTGAAGATGAGCATGGAGGATTTTTCACAATGATGGCCCTAATATGTACATATGTGTTGAAAAAAACCATATAGGGCCATTGTTCCATGATCCCCCGAGGGGACTCAGCCCCACATGTTCCCAAAGCACACTGGCATCGGCATGAGCAGAAGGCTTGATTCTGCTTCATGGCCCCAGTCGTTCCGGAGATCCATGCTATCTGATCCATGCGATCTGTTCCCGAGGAAAAGACCACAGCCTTGGGGACGAAATGGACCCTGAAAGGGCTTATGCCCCCTTTTCCTCAAATCGTGTAGGGTGTATGACCCACTTTGGGGGTTCATTTCCTCCCCGCAGTCGGCGTTGTGTGATAGACCCGATCTGGCAATATTCTTTGGTGCCATGCGAGAAGCCGGTGTGGAGCGTCTAATTGTGGCGTCGGCGCCGATATCAACGGTGTTCCTTAAAGGGTTGCAGCCTGTTTGGGATTCTACTGTACTCCCAACCCGATTTAAGCCCAAGCACGCAAGCCTAAACCCTAAACCCTAAACCCTAAACCCTAAACCCTAAACCCTTCTCCTTCCTCGTGGGCAAGCCCCTCACGTCCGAAGCATGGCTGCGAGCTCGTGCAGTAGGTGCAGTAGCCCGAAAGCACACCTATGGGCCTCCATGAGTGGGCTCTTCTCTTAAGTGCCCTGGTGGGCATCCAGGGTCATCCGTTGGCACCGACCTGCCATGGATTTGGCGGCGTGGGGGCGAGCTGCGCAGCTGCGAAGCCAGGGGATTCCGGGAAGAGGCGGGGCAGCTCATTGGGCGGCAAGACACTAGCTGTGAGAGTCGAGGTGTCTGGGTGCTACTCTAAGCCATGCTGGCTTCAAAACATCCGAGTGGGAATGGACGAGAGCAACTTAGGAGCTGAATGAGTACACTTTACAGTTTTGGGGATACTAACATTCCCAAAAGAACTGAAAGCGTACACTTTCTTGGGGGCTTATGAACTCAGCAACTAAGGCAATGCCGTGGAGAGCCCCTCCAAGGTGGGAGTGTACCTCTCCGATGGGAGGCTGGTCGCCAGTTCCCAGGTCCTTCCCGTCCCGACGGCCCTGCCGGATAACGCCTGGCTCTCCTTTCCACTGCGAGGCCACGACAAGGAGCTCTAAGTGAGAACCCCATGCCTAGGCCAACAAAAGGAAGCTAAAAGAGAGCCAAAAACCCTAAACCCTAAACCCTAGACCCTAGACCCTAGACCCTAAACCCTAAACCCTAAACCCTAAACCCTAAACCCTAAACCCTAAACCCTAAACCCTAAACCCTAAACCCTAAACCCTAAACCCTAAACCCTAAACCCTAAACCCTAAACCCTAACCCAAAAAGCAAGAATCCAGAGTTCAGGAGCTGCGGACCCTCCAAGAGCTGGATCATGTTTGGCTGGTCTTCAACACGCCCGAACCTTGGGGACCAAAATGAACCCTAAAATTGGGGTCATGCACCCTCTACTACTATGATTCTTATTAAGGTAGTATCCCTAAACCCTAAACCCTAAACCCTAAACCCTAAACCCTAAACCCTAAACCCTAAACCCTAAACCCTTTTCGAGTTCATGTCGTCCCCAAGGAACGCGTGCAGCTCACCTACGAGAACGTCGGCTCCGCAGCAGCTCGCGCCGGCATGTTGGGAGCTGGGTTTAGGGTTTAGGGTTTAGGGTTTAGGGTTTAGGGTTTAGGGTTTAGGGTTTAGAATTACATAAAAGACCATCGTTTAGAGCGGTGACCCATATAGGCCCTGTAGAGGCGAAGCCCAAAATGCTGGGCCCTGTTAAGCGGAACCTACTACCCTAAACCCTAAACCCTAAACCCTAAACCCTGTCGAGCCCGGGATCACCATCCTCAAGATCGGCTGTGGCGATGCACGTGTTTGTGAATCCCACGCTATGGACTCCCCCCCCTTAAACCCCAAACCCTAAGCCCTAAACCCTAAACCCCAAACCCTAAACCCTAAACCCCAAACCCTAAACCCTAAACCCGAAGTGTTTAACAGTAACCCTAAACCCTGAAACTCAGAAAGTCCATGCGCGACCTGGAGCCTGGAGCCCAAAAGGCGCAAGTCTAAGCAAGAGCCAAGGAGGAGGCCACCCGCTACGTCTCGGAGGATTTCTCCGAAGCCTTTACCGAGGTGCTGCAGAGGGAGGATGGAGTTGTCCTTAAACCCTAAACCCTAAACCCTAAACCCTAAACCCTAAACCCTAAACCCGAAACGATGCACTTCCCCCTCCGAGGCCAGGAAGCCCCTCAGACCCACAAGATCGACCGAGTGCAGTTTGAGAGTTTAGGTCAGCTTCGTACCTACCCCTGCACTCTCAGGAACTAATTACAGTGGTTTGGAGCTTGGGGCTTGTGTGTTGGTGGAAGGTTTTTGAGCTTAGTGTTGGCTGCCCCATGCTCACCCGAGTGTAGGACTCCTTGAGATTTGTCTGCTTGGAGGCGTAGCTTAACTGCAGATCCCCACCATCCCATCCAGAAGAGCAGATCAAAGCCCCAAATTGAATCGGTACCCCCGCCCCTCTCCCTGCCAGAACCTTAAATCCTATAATCCTAAACCCTGAACCCTTGTTGCGCCCGCATTCACGCCCCCCCCTCCTCCTCCTCCTCCTCCTCCTCCTCCTCCTCCTCCTCCCCCTCCTCCCCCCGTGAGATCCCGCGCCGTGTGGTTCATGGTGGGTTTGGAGTTTAGGCTTTGGGTTTAGGATTTCCCCCCCCCCCCCTCTCCTGTGGGTTCATGGTCTGTGGTTCCCATATGGTTTAGGTAGGGTTTAGAGTTTAGGGGTGGTAAGGTTTAGGGTTCCCCTCGCCGCCCTGTGGTTCGTGGTGGTTTTAGGTGTAGGGTTTAGGTGTAGGGTTTTGGGTTTGGGGTTTTGGGTTTAGGGTTTAAGTTCAATGTTTCCTCCCTCTCATCGCTCTGCGGTTCGTGCTGGGTTGGGTTGACGGTCAGGTTTGGGGGGCGGGGGGGGGGGGTACATCTAGGGAATACCATTGGGGGAGAGGGGGGGGGGAGGAGGGGGAGAATGTGGTGCGCGGGCGCAGAAAAGCCCCAAGCCCTCCACCCTAAACCCGAAACCCGAAACCCTAGACCCCAACAGCACCCGTACGACAGTTTGCTCGGCGTGCCTTCCATAACCGAACTTTGCCCGACCCGCCTGAACACCCCAAGGGCCCCCCCACCCCTGGAAAAGAGCTCCCTAAACAAGCCTGAAGACCTAAACCGAGTAAAGTGTGTTACGGAAATTGGCGGGTTGTAACGGAAACTGCCCCGGAACCCCCCATGGAAATTCAGGCTTCTAGGCTTTATTTGGCTTAGGCTTCAGTGTTTAGAATGGAACTTCAGGCTTTTGGGTTTTATTCGCTTCAGGCTTGAGTGTTTTTGGAATTCTCGGCAACAAGCGAAGGGGTCCGGGTACATGGCTTTGGCTTGGAGCTGGCTAGCTTCCGGCAGCGTAGAATACCGTGGCCCCAGAGCTAGTCCGTGGCACCCTTATCCTTCCTGTGGCTGTAGTTTCTCGCTTAGGAAGGTAGTTTCTGTTACGCCCCGACGCCGTTTCTGTAACGCCCCGAAGCCAGTTTCCGTTACGCCCTTTCGTAGTTTCTGCGTCGTTTTCAGGGGGGCAGTTTCCGTTACAACCCGCCAATTTCCGTAACACACTTTACACGCCGCTGTAACGGAAACTAAAAAAGGTTGTAGCCGGTTTTTGTAGGTTTCGGTTTAAGTTTTCCGTGATTTCGGTTACATCTCCTTTTGGTTTCCGTTGCAGTTTTGCCTGGTTTCCGTTACAGCCGCGCATTGTTTCGACTCGCCGGGCCGTTGTTTCCGTTACATTTTTTTGCTTTCCGCTACATTTTGCCGTTTGTTTCCGTTACAACCTTTTTTAGTTTCCGTTACAGCGACCACCCCCCTAAACCCTAAACCCTAAACCCCTAAACCCTAAACCCCTAAACCCTAAACCCTAAACCCCTAAACCCCTAAACCCTAAACCCCTAAACCCCTAAGCCCCTACACCCCTAAACCCCTAAACCTCCAAACCCCTAAACCCCTCGGGCCTCAAGGAGTCGGGTGGGGTCCTGAAACCCTAAACCCTAAACCCTAAACCTTAAACCCTAAACCCTAAACCCTAAACCCTAAAAACCCCAAACCCCTGAATCAAGTAGAGGTGCGCAGCTGGGGCGCGGAGCAGAGCAGGCAGTGGGCGGGGCACTTCAGTATCTTGCCCGCGCCAAGTTGGCGGTGCTGTTAAACACTTAGGGTTTAGGGTTTAGGGTTTAGGGTTTAGGGTTTAGGGTTTAGGGTTTAGGCTAGGTCCCATCTCGGATGTTTCGTTGTAAGGCGCCTGGCCTAACCCCCCGGTCGGGTTTTGTTGGTGGGGTTGTAGGCTCCAAAGTTCTGGATTTAGGGCCCCATATGGGTTCCAGTCGATGGCTCACGAGGACCCTTTACCCGCGGGGGGCCCGTGTCCCACAGCCAAGACCCCTGGCCCTAAATCCTAAACCCTTCATGCTGAGGGAACTTGAGGATGCAGATGGACCTGGGGGACGTCTCCATTTTGCCAGGTGCCTCGAGGTTTTTGGGTTTTGGGTGTCGGGTTTTGGGTTTAGGGTTTAGGGGTTAGGGTTCAGGGTTTCGGGCAGACCCCCTTTTTGATTACTGGAGTTGCTAAAGCTTAGGGGAACCTATAACCAACCTACCCCCTTAATCAGAATGCACCCGCCCCCAACACGGTTTACGGTTGAGGGTTTAGGGTTTAGGGTTTCCTCCCCGCCCTGATTGACCAAATCGCCCCTCTCCACTATTCAGTGGGGGAGTCTTGGCACCCTGAAGACTTCAGCCCTTCCTTTTTTGGGGCGGAAACGAGTCTTGGAGGGATGGTTTCGTTGTTTTGCGTGGCTGACTCAGGATGTCGGATGTTGTTGGCTCTTCTGCCGCCACTCTAACAACCCCAAACCCTCAAACCCTGAAACCCTAGAACCCAAGGTCCCGAAACCCTAAACCCGAAGACCCTTTCATGCACCTCGAAACCCCAGGGCTCTATAGACTTGGGGGGGGGTCGTCATTGTGGTTGAGCTTTTAAGCCAGTGGTGCCCCTTTCCCCCTTTTTTGGTTCAAGGTTCCCTCACAAAGTAACCAAGCTCAACAAGGGTACCCTTATTGTCATACGGGTCGTTGTCAAAATGATGGGGGTCCCATTTTGGACCCCTGTTATAATACGGCACCTAATCTTTCGGGTACCCCAAAAAAGGGATCGAAATTTTGACAGCCACCCATCTGGTCACTGGGCTGCCAAGAAAATTCGGGGGACCTTCCACCTCGTTCCGCGCCTCAGGGCTCTGCCCGAAGGGTCGAAATCTGATCTTCACTTCTTGCTCTTGGGGTCTGGGGTTTAGGGTTTAGGGTTTAGGGTTTAGGTTTAGCAAGTGCCTTTACCCATGAAGCTTGTAGGAGGCAAGCAGTAAAGCTATAAGGAGAGTTCGAGGTAGGATTCCCTGATGACAAGGACCCCAATCAGGTACCCCTACTCCGCAAACCCCCAATTCCTCAAAGGATGTAACCCTAAACCCTAAACCCTCAACCCTCAACCCTCAACCCTCAACCCTAAACCCTAAACCCTAAACCCTTCGGCTGGCTGGCCTGTCCCAGTAATAAAGCACTGCCAGGGACCTTGCCTCTGATCCTGGAGTCCCCGCACGGGGGACGCATTGAGCACGGCTGGCCAGAGCGGGCGGCTTGGCTGAAAAACGACGGGTTTAGGGTTTAGGGTTTAGGGTTTTAGGGTTAGGGTTTAGGGTTTTAGGGTTTAGGGTTTAGGGCTTAGGGTTCAGGAACCCGGAGAAAAACCATCTTCCAGGGTCATTTTGTGCACCTCGATGCATCCCCACTTTGCAGACGAAGAATTTGCGAGCTCACTCTGGGGGTGAGCACTCCAGGGACACATGGGGGTTGGGCACTCCCAAGGCATTTTCGGCACTCCCCTGGGGTTGCAGGGGCTCTCTTCCTTCCCTGATAACTGGGGTTGGGCAGTTCAGGGTTCAGGGTTTAGGGTTCGAGGTTCTGGGTTTAGGGTTTAGGGTTTGGGGTTTAAGGTTTAAGGCTTCTGTGGATCTGGGGTTGGGTGCTCCCGGAACTGTTCGGGACCCAAAGACTCTGTGGGATACTGCTGGTATTCCAGGAACTCTGTGGATACTCTGGGGTTGGGCGCTTCAAGGAATGTCTGGGCCAGCGATATTCTGGGGTGGGATACGGGTGATGGGCGAGGAGTAGATCGGGTGAGGAGAAGAGTTTAGTTCAAATCAAACCCTAAATCCTAATCCCTAAACCCTCAAACAAGTAAACCCTAACCCTAAACCCTAAACCTTCATGTGGGTTTTTAGACAGGAGGTAAGGCACTGCGGGTGTCCGCGGCCCAGGTCAGTGGCACCCTTTCG